CTGGGGCTGGAGCCGACACTGGAGGGCGCTCTGGGGCTGGAGCCGACACTGGAGGGCGCTCTGGGGCTGGAGCCGACACTGGAGGGCGCTCTGGGGCTGGAGCCGACACTGGAGGGCGCTCTGGGGCTGGAGCCGACACTGGAGGGCGCTCTGGGGCTGGAGCCGACACTGGAGGGCGCTCTGGGGCTGGAGCCGACACTGGAGGGCGCTCTGGGGCTGGAGCCGACACTGGAGGGCGCTCTGGGGCTGGAGCCGACACTGGAGGGCGCTCTGGGGCTGGAGCCGACACTGGAGGGCGCTCTGGGGCTGGAGCCGACACTGGAGGGCGCTCTGGGGCTGGAGCCGACACTGGAGGGCGCTCTGGGGCTGGAGCCGACACTGGAGGGCGCTCTGGGGCTGGAGCCGACACTGGAGGGCGCTCTGGGGCTGGAGCCGACACTGGAGGGCGCTCTGGGGCTGGAGCCGACACTGGAGGGCGCTCTGGGGCTGGAGCCGACACTGGAGGGCGCTCTGGGGCTGGAGCCGACACTGGAGGGCGCTCTGGGGCTGGAGCCGACACTGGAGGGCGCTCTGGGGCTGGAGCCGACACTGGAGGGCGCTCTGGGGCTGGAGCCGACACTGGAGGGCGCTCTGGGGCTGGAGCCGACACTGGAGGGCGCTCTGGGGCTGGAGCCGACACTGGAGGGCGCTCTGGGGCTGGAGCCGACACTGGAGGGCGCTCTGGGGCTGGAGCCGACACTGGAGGGCGCTCTGGGGCTGGAGCCGACACTGGAGGGCGCTCTGGGGCTGGAGCCGACACTGGAGGGCGCTCTGGGGCTGGAGCCGACACTGGAGGGCGCTCTGGGGCTGGAGCCGACACTGGAGGGCGCTCTGGGGCTGGAGCCGACACTGGAGGGCGCTCTGGGGCTGGAGCCGACACTGGAGGGCGCTCTGGGGCTGGAGCCGACACTGGAGGGCGCTCTGGGGCTGGAGCCGACACTGGAGGGCGCTCTGGGGCTGGAGCCGACACTGGAGGGCGCTCTGGGGCTGGAGCCGACACTGGAGGGCGCTCTGGGGCTGGAGCCGACACTGGAGGGCGCTCTGGGGCTGGAGCCGACACTGGAGGGCGCTCTGGGGCTGGAGCCGACACTGGAGGGCGCTCTGGGGCTGGAGCCGACACTGGAGGGCGCTCTGGGGCTGGAGCCGACACTGGAGGGCGCTCTGGGGCTGGAGCCGACACTGGAGGGCGCTCTGGGGCTGGAGCCGACACTGGAGGGCGCTCTGGGGCTGGAGCCGACACTGGAGGGCGCTCTGGGGCTGGAGCCGACACTGGAGGGCGCTCTGGGGCTGGAGCCGACACTGGAGGGCGCTCTGGGGCTGGAGCCGACACTGGAGGGCGCTCTGGGGCTGGAGCCGACACTGGAGGGCGCTCTGGGGCTGGAGCCGACACTGGAGGGCGCTCTGGGGCTGGAGCCGACACTGGAGGGCGCTCTGGGGCTGGAGCCGACACTGGAGGGCGCTCTGGGGCTGGAGCCGACACTGGAGGGCGCTCTGGGGCTGGAGCCGACACTGGAGGGCGCTCTGGGGCTGGAGCCGACACTGGAGGGCGCTCTGGGGCTGGAGCCGACACTGGAGGGCGCTCTGGGGCTGGAGCCGACACTGGAGGGCGCTCTGGGGCTGGAGCCGACACTGGAGGGCGCTCTGGGGCTGGAGCCGACACTGGAGGGCGCTCTGGGGCTGGAGCCGACACTGGAGGGCGCTCTGGGGCTGGAGCCGACACTGGAGGGCGCTCTGGGGCTGGAGCCGACACTGGAGGGCGCTCTGGGGCTGGAGCCGACACTGGAGGGCGCTCAGGGGCTGGAGCAGACACTGGAGGGCGCTCAGGGGCTGGAGCCGACACTGGAGGGCGCTCAGGGGCTGGAGCCGGTATGGTGGAGGAGCCCTTTCTCCTCCTACGCTTCCTTATTTTTGGTGGCGGGAAGCTGGCCACCTCTTCAGACACTGCTGGGCACTCCACTACCTCTGACAGTGTTGCAGTGTCTGTTTCGGGCACCTCGAGGGATGTTGCTGCCGCCAGGGTGGTTGCTGGATGGGCTGCAGTGGGTTCAGTCACCTCTAGGTGGGTGACAGGTGAGGAGGGCCCGTTCTTCCTCCTCCGTCTCCGTTGGTGGGTCATCGGAGGACTGGGGATTTGGCAGTCTGTGAGCGGGATTGGCGGTGGGCCAAGGGGAGGCAGGCCACCGTCTCCCTGGCTGTGGTACAAATAGCTCACAAACTGCCAGAATGACAGTATCCCCAGCATCCCCATCTCCCAGGCCTGAAGGGGGCTGTTGAGTCCAGCATTGAAAGCCTCCTTCAGTGCTGTGGTGGTAAACTCAAGCCCCTCTGCTGCGTAGACAAACTGGTAGGCAAACTCCTTGACTGAAGATTCCCCTTGATGAAGACCAAAGAGTTTGCCCAAACGTTCCTTCTGCTGGCATGCAGAGGGACGTGAACTGGGAGATGGGAAAAGGAAGATACCCATATTTCTGCTGAGTCCTCTGTTATGGCGAGTTCGTACTGTCACGGTTAAGGTGGGGAAAAGGAGCGAGGACTCAAGTGCAAAGAAACAATGGGTATTTATTAATAAAAATAAAAATAAAAAGCAAAACAAAACTACCCCGAGGGGGAAAACATTAACAAAACACACAAACTTGGCTCAACAAGAACAAGGCAAGACAGGATCAGGAACACGGGGAGTGTAGACAACGAACTCGCAAAGGACTGAAAACATGAGGGGGATTATAAAGCAAAAAAGTAAATTGACACACAGGTGAACACAATTAACTAATAATAGGTTGACAAGGAGGGTGGGACTAGACAATAGACGGGAGAGCGCATGACACAGAGAGACAATACAAGCCATGCGCTCACATAACACAACACTGAAGCACACGACAAAAGCACGTGACCAATGTAAACACCGAGCCATGTGCTTTGACAAAAGACGCAAGACACGAGCACACGATGAATGAAAACACTCACCATGCGCTCACATATGCAGCATGCATGCTTCATCCCAGCGCCGACCAAAACCGAAACCAACAAGACTGAGACGCTGGGAATGAAACACCACGCTGCTGACAGACGAAAACACAAACACGAGTACAAGAGCGCACGCGTCTGAGGGACGCAGAGCGCGCGCGCGGCCGCGTCAAGCAGAAGCGCGCACACTCTGCGTACACCCACGACGGTGCGCGCGCACACAGAGACAGAAACAGGACCGGACATGGGTAGTGTCAGAGCTCTGCCACCAAAACAAGAATTTACAAAGACCAGAGTGGCAGAACCCTGACAAACCGGTGCTTTTAACAATGTCAGTTTGACAGCTTGTGTGAAATATGAAAAGCCCCAACAAATGTTAGTTTGCTGTGAGGGAAAAATGAGAGCAAAAATAAAATCCTGGCCCTATTGAGTATTTGGTTTCAGTTGGAAATAAGCCATCATAAAAATCTGCAGCAACATCTGGTTCATGTGGAATTTAATTGAAAAATTGTTTGTTAAAGACTGGCGCAGTATAGTTGAATGTGTAATATTTTGCATCCTTACCTTGTGTTTATGTAATTCATAACTAAATGTCATGAGAAATATTATTCTTTTCAGCATGTGCAGGCTTTCATTCATGTTAACAAGTACCAAATGGTTCAAATTGATTTAAAAAAGATTTTTTTCTTTCTTTTTCATAATTTTTAAAATCAATTTTAATCTTTCACTTTAATTTAGGTCAGTTGCTTTAAAAAAAAACAATAATAATAGACTCCACCAATTCTTTAAGACATTGTTTTGGTCTTGGATTTAAAAATTAATTGCAAATACCAGAACTTAAATCTAATTGTAGGCTAATTATTTTCAATTATTTTTATTATGTTCGGCTGACAATCATACACATATTTGAATTAAACCTTATTATAATAATGTCAAGTTGCATGTCAAAGTATGATCACATCTGTGGTTTAAAAGAGCAGTAAAAAAACAAAACAAAATAAGATCATGGACAAGCATGATCAATTAGACAGGAAAGGAGGAACTTTGGTTTTAATGTTTGGCTTGAGGATTTGGAGGCCCCTCTAAAGCAAATTCTGGTCTTAGTTAGAAAAGTTTATTGCACAACAAATGACAAAAAAAGGTATTTCAGAAAAGTAAAAAGATATTTCAAATGTTTTGTACCTTCTAACAAATTATACAATCAGTAAGTCACGAAAACAATTTACTTTTACATTTTGAAGTTATATTCAAATAAATTGGATTTATTTTAATTAAAATTATTATTTTAAGTAATAAAAAAAACATGCTAACAAATCAACTTTTTTAGTAATTTACACATTAATCAGTTTAATTTACACATTTAAATTCTGTCATCATTTACCATTGACTTGTTCCAGAGGTTTTTCTTTTTTTTTTAACCACAAAAGACATATTACAGAATTTGAATAACCATGTAACCATTGACACAGTCAAGTACAAAAAAAAAAATCGTGGAAGTCAGTGCTTACAGGTTTTTAATTTTTTTTTGTGTCCAACAGAAAAAAAAAACCTTGATTGAATCTAGTAAAGGCTAAGTAAATGATGACAACTGTTTTTTCTCTCTGTTTTTTTTTTTAATAAACTTATCCCTTTTTTAATACACTGGAATGACTTGTAAAGTTAATTTTATTCAACTTTAAATATTAAAGCAGCTAGATCTTTGTTATTGTATGCTACACTGTCCAAATCAAATCCAAATCACTAAATTGTATGCATAACCACACTGTTAAGATACTAATATCTTTTAATTACCCCTTCCTTTTTTTCTTCTTTTATTTATTTTGACGATGCAAGAACAAATGCTAGTATGTTAAACTGTGCATTTTAGATTGAAACAATATGTCATGGCTCCATGCGTTTCATTATATGCAAATTGCTATTCACTTAGTACAAACACCATCCGCATTCTGGTTGTTGTTTATACTGAAATATAACATATCGTGCTATAGCTGCGTGAAAACACAAACTTGCACCCGCCCCGAGTTCCGACACACACAGTCCGCGGGGGAGAGCAGAGCAGAGCACTCGGTGTAAACAGTTGCAATGTGACGTGTGGTGGAGGAAAAGTCGAGTTCAGACGGGACGGCGACAGCATCTTTCCAACAGACAGAGGAATAAATCAAGTTATGGAGCTTACACGGTAAGAACATCTCTTTAAGTTGACACCTTTAATTATTCTCCGTCAGTAAAACAGCCTGCAAGATAAACGTTAGATTAAGAAGCTGTCAAACTGATCGTTCGGCCATCCAATCAATAGTTATCCATTTACTTGGGTTAGTCCTTTGATTTAAGTTTCTGTAGCAGAGATTAGCCCACTGTAAGCACTTTAACCTAAACGTTTATTAATGTGCTACTTGCAATATGAGAATGTGCTAATTTATGATGTGATTGCATACGTCTATAAACCGAGCGATACAGAATCTAGCGGAAAAAGGTGAAAGCCTGTTGCTTGGTTACCAATAAACGAACGTAACGTTACGCTACTTTTCTGCTAGCAAGCGTAACGTTACATTTTTTAACATAACATTTCGAGCCATTGTGTTCCTGAACTCTAATTATGCTATTTGTGATAAGTAATAACTCCCTAAACTAGTTTTAAATATTAATTCCACTTAATTAAGTTATTATTTAATGAATAATGACACACTTTTGATTAATCTTGTTTAAATATCAAAGCAATGTAGCCTAATGGTTGAAATAAACCCCCCTCTCTGCTCACTGCAGTGTCTTTGTGATCCTGGCCCAGTGTGTGTGGCCCCTGTGGACTCAGGTCATCCCACTCTCAGACATGTATGGGACCATCAAGTCTCCAAACTTTCCTGAACCCTATCCTAAAGAAACAGATCTACAATGGAATATAACTGTACCCGATGGATATCAAATCCGACTTTATTTTATGCACTTTGACATAGAGCCTTCATACCTATGTGAGTACGACTACCTAAAGGTAAGTGGATGTTATGTATCTATCTCTATTTTAACAAATGGCATTTTTATCTATTCTTAGCACAAATAACTGTACTATATTTGCATTTTGTCACAAAACTAGCACCTATTTTGATGATTCAAATATAGGACCATGTGATATTTAAATGTTTCTTTTTTTATAAATCTGCAAAAATGTCAACAATTCTGTGTTTTTCTGCCAATATAGGGTGCTTTGTGTACATTAATGTACATTAAATGTTTTCAGCAAATGGCCGCAATATAACAGAGTGAAATATTTAAGGGGGTCTAAATACTTTCCGAACCACTGTATTTGGTGTTTTTGTAAACAAACATAAACCAAAAAAAAAAAAAAAAAAAAACGGCAAAAAAAATAAATAAATAGATTATTTTCTTTCTTGTAATATACTAGCTAAAGGCTCAATTTCTATGTTGTATAATCTACTTCTGAACCAATCATCTACCCTAACAGATAACATTAAGAGTGCTTGGGAAGAGGATCTTTGTGGTTCAATTTCGAATGATCTATGGAACGATATTCTTAAAAAAATTCACTCATCATCAATGTGTGCCCGACACTCCCTTATTCAATTTAAAGTAGTGCACAGAGCTTATATCTCTAAGACTAAATTAGCCCAAATGTTTCCAGGTACCAGTCCTTTGTGCAATAGATGTAATTGTGCTGAAGGCACTTTATTTCATATGTTCTGGACTTGCCCCAACTTAGAGCATTTCTGGAAGTTTATATTTGACACGTTATCTGTGATTCTTCAGCACAAGCTGGATCCAGATCCACAGGTGGCACTATTTGGGGTTACTTCAGAGGATATACAGTTGCCTTCTTCAAAATGTAAAATCATTTCATTTTCGACTTTATTGGCACGTAGGGCTATTTTGCTAAAATGGAAGGATTCTAATCCTCCCACTCATGCTCAGTGGATTAGAGAAATTATGTCTTGTCTTCATTTAGAAAAAATCAGGTTTTCATTAAGAGGGTCGGAGGGAAAATTTTATAAGGTGTGGCAACCTTTTATTGATTTTGTGGAAAATCTCAAATAATTTGATTTTTCTATACATATGGTCTGTATGGTTATATGTTAGCTGAATAAATGCTTTTTCTTTTTTTTTTTAATTTTTTTTTTTTTAAATTTTTTTTTAATGTTTTTATTAATTTTTCTTGTATGTTTATTTATTTATTTATTTATTTATTTATTGTTATTATGGTTATAATAATTATTATTTCTTTGTAGTTGTATTTAAACCTACATGTACAATTGTATATTTGCTAATTTTTGGCTAATGTGAGCGCTATCCCGCTGTTGGATTGGTATGGGTTTGGGGTTTTTATTGTTGTTCTTTCATATTTGAAAAACTGAAACTCAATAAAAAAATATTGAATCAAAAAAAAAAATAAATAAAAAAACAACAGAAAAAAAAAAAAAAAATATATATATATATATATATATATATATATATATATATTTATTTAACCATCGTTAGCCAAGTAACGTCGCAAGTTGCGTCATTACAAACATAGTTCTTTGATTTGGCGTTTCTCAAATCCATTGTTCCAACGAACTGCGTCTCAAACTTGTATGATTGCAACTACACATCTAGAGCTGTAGTTAGAAGCGTAGTTCCTGGTTGTGTTCTATTCCCAGTTATTTTAGAACTTTTGGAATATTCTAACATTTTAAATTGGAATGGTTAAAAAAACATTAAGGTCATCTCTCTTAGGTGTAATTTGCTTTAAGTAATTTGTTACAGTTCAGTTTTAGCAATCTTCATATTGACATGTGCGTTCCCTACGCAGTGCACTTCGAAAAACATTATGCCATTTTGAACACAGCCATGGCTCATGACGAAAGCTAAAGGTGACCTTTTATTTAAAAGCAGAATTTATGTTACGTCTTCAAAGCTTGAGAAAACAAAAAATATAGCATACTTCAATGACTTTAATTTATAGTAGGTTATTATTTATTAAGAAATGTATCTGTATTGTACATGACATGGGCCTGTTGGTTAGAACATATCAGCAATGGCTTGAATGTGTTTTACAATAAAAAAATAAAAATAAATAAATAAACAAGATCCTACCTAATAATAAAAACACTAATAATAATTATGATTGAGTAGTATTTTTCTTCATTTCTTCATAAATAGCCTATTGTAAATTACAACCATTAATGATTTATATGATTTATATATGAGATAAGGTTTATGTTAGCTAAGTGGTTTTTTGTTTTAGAATAGAATAGGGATTGTTATCAATATATTAGTAAAGGAAACATAGGCCCTATATGGGCTGTTTACATACTGTATGTTTAAATTATTATGGAAAACGAGTGCATGTTTTTATCAAATTTAATATTGGATTTTGTTTTTAAATGCGTGTAAAATAATATAATTTGCACCAAAAGTATGGGTTTTTTTCTCCATAATTCCGGTTTAGAGCATCGTTATGGATGTTTTAAGTTATAACTAACATGGTTTAAACAAAGGATCTGCGACAGAGAAACAATTTTGGAAAACACACATCACTACATCGTTCTTTTGCTAAATGATGCATCGTACTATGATAGTTTAGCCACCAGTTATGTCGTTGTTTAGGAAACGCACCCCTGTTCTCTTATTATTGATTTTCATTTTATTTAAAGACCTTGTTTGTGGAGATGTATGGGGCAACGTTTTGTTTTTAAACTCAGATTTTAGTGCAGAGCATTGACTTCATATAATCTTAATGGTCTGCATTGTCTGTCAACAGAAACACAAAAAATGTTTTCTGAGGAACTTGGCTGAAATAATATTGACTAGGCTGTATAAATCAAAACCAATGAAAATGGCCTGAATACGACATGATGACATTATGATAACGTCATCATTTGTTGACCTTTTAAGTAAGCTTTGGCTACCTTTCATTGAATATATTTGGCAGCACTGACTACATGCCTGCAAACAGGCACACACACACACACACACAAAAACTTGCACTGTGAGACCTGTTTGCAAGTCTGCATTTTCAGGTCTCCAAAACATGGTATGATCAAAAGTTTTGAGTTTTTACAAAAAACAGTGTTAGTGTGAACACCACTGTTTAAAACATGGTAATACTTGGTCTCAGTGTGTATGTTTTTAGTTCAAAAGTTGAAATTATTATTCTTTTTATCCTGTTTTGTTGGTATTGATTTCGAAGGCTCTTCATTTCAGACAATTAAAGAGCACATAGATCCGTCTAGACGTGCCTAAAAGATCTTTTGTTATGTTTATTGTAAGCCTCTTACTTCAAGTCTCGGAATTTTATTGTTTCAATGGGTCAGAATAGCATTTGGTAGACAGGTCTGTGGCAGATGCCCTGGTATCCTGGGTGGATAGAGTTAATGGCATTTAATTCACAAGAGCCAGTGTGATGCCCACACTACTGGGGGGCATATTCATATTCAAATACTCTCAGTGGGCCCCACAGCAACCTGCTATGGAAACAAGCCAGCAGACCAAAAAACCGGGTGGCAGACAAAAAGTTTACAGACACACATAATGACTGTTGCACATGTGAACATGCATACAGGGTTTTAAAGAAGAGTTTAGACATTTCCTGGTGATACTGACAGCATGATAACCTTGAATAAAAATATCACAGTATTTTGATGACTGCTCTAAGATAAGTTGCTTTTGGGCGAAAAACAATAACTTTTTCCCCATTGAGCACTATATTTTTTTATTTTAAGAAATATTTTGGAACAGTAAACATGTCAGGCTAAATAATTAAAATACACTCACCTGCCACTTTATTAGGTACACCGTACTAGTACTGGGTTGGACCCCCTTTTGCCCTCAGAACTGCCTTAATCCTTTGTGGCATAGATTCAACAAGGTACTGGAAATATTCCTCAGAGATTCTGGTCCATATTACCATGATCGCATCACGCAGTTGCTGCAGATTTGTCGGCTGCACATCCATTATGCGAATCTTCCATTCCACCACATCCCCAAGGTGCTCTATTGGATTGAGATCTGGTGATTGTGAAGGCCATTTGAGTACAGTGAACTCATTGTCATGTTCAAGAAATCAGTCTGAGAGGATTCACGCTTTATGACGTGACACGTTATCCTGCTGGAAGTAGCCAACAGAGAATGGGTACACTGTGGTCATAAAGAAATAGACATGGTCAGCAACAATACTTAGGCTGTGGCGTTGACATGATGCTCAATTGGTACTAATGGGCCCTAAGTGTGCCAAGAAAATATCCCCCACACCATTACACCATCACTTCCAACCTGAACCATTGATACAAGGCAGAATGGATTCATACTTCCATGTTGTTGATGCCAAATTCTGACCCTTCCATCCGAATGTTGCGGCAAAAATCAAGACTCATCAGACCATGAAACGTTTTTCCAATCATCTATTGTCCAATTTTGGTGAGCCTGTGTGAATTGTAGCCTCAGTTTGCTATTCTTAGCTGACAGGAGTAGCACCTGGTGTGGTCTTCTGCTGCTGTAGCTCATCTGCCTCAAGGTTGGACGTGTTGTGCATTCAGAGATGCTCGTCAGCATACCTCGGTTGTAATAAGAAACTCGGTTGAAACACTCAGACCAGCCTGTCTGGCACCAACAACCATTCCACATTCAAAGTCACTTAAATCACCTTTCTTCCCCATTCGGTTGCTCGGTTTGAACTGCAGCAGATCGTACTGACCATGTCTATATGCTGAAATTCATTGAGTTGCTGCCATGTGACTGGCTGATTTGAAATTTGCGCTAACAAGCAGTTGGACAGGTGTACCTAATAAAGTGGCCGGTTAGTGTGTATCATTAACTTCTGTTGTCTTCATTAGTTTCAAAAACACAGAAATTCAGTGAAATGCAGCGTGTCCCACATTTGAACTCCTTTAAAAAAGGCTAATAACCTTGCCTGTTGTGCAGTCATTTAGCTTGAGGTGTGTCTGGTGAAATAGCTGTGCAATTAGGATTCTTGCATTGGCATAAGCATGTCTCACACATCTTTGGTAACTGGGGGTTACCGTCCGTTCACTGACACGGGTAAAGTAAACACTCAAGCTGGGAGCCAGATAAGAGACATGTTTAGTGCTGTTTGCGTGTGCTTGTGTGAGTGTTTGTGAGCACAATGAAGACTTGGCTGTGGTCTCGGTCTGCAGTGTTTGCATGTTTGATTGACAGTTTGGCTGTCTGCTGAGTGTAATTGTGTTGATGCGGATGCCAGTTTTTGTGTTTGTGCAGATATTTCTTAAATTGAGGGTTTGGCAGCATTCTTTGGTGTAATTTGTGCGGGTTCATCCAAAGAAGGAGAGACTGGGAGTGTTCAAACTGTGTGGCCTTTTATATGTTCATGCAGGTATATTTAGAAAGTGGTAATCTTTTCAGCATTTTACTCTCACTGATGCTTTTGATATTATTTGTTTTGTGAAAAAAAGATGAAATGCTGTGGGAAAAGGCACCATCAACGTTCTGCATATAATGGAAAAATGACAATTAAATAGAGACAACATGGAAATGAGTAAATTGTGGATGATTTATCACTTTAAATGTGCATACGGAGTTACACAAATGGAAAAACAAATTGCCTGCGATAATTTATCGGACATTATGATAGTGATTATGCATATCAGAGTAGATTATTTTGGTTTTCAAATGCAAAAATACTGATATTAAATATAAGTGCGTCCATTTTTAGCTATGTAAGTAAATCCCCGGCGACACTGTTGCTCACTGTTGGTTAATGTTTTAATTTTAGAAGTTCCATACATGGTGGAATGGTGGCTAAGTGGTTAGTCTCACAGCAGAAATATTGCTGGTTCGAGTCCCGGCTGGTTCAGTTGGCATTTCTGTGTAGATCTGGCATGTTCTCCCCGTGTTCACATGGGTTTCCTCCAAATGCTCCTGTTTCCCCCCACAGTCCAAAGAGATGCAGTATAGGTAGGTCCACACGGAATCTGCACGCGCAGAATTCTGCAGATTTTCCGCAGAATTACGCAGATTTTTAGCCATCATTAATTCTGTTTATTTACTTGAGTAAATGTGTGTAAATCTGTATTTATTCATTTTTTTTTATTAATTAAAGTAATATTATTGACTAATATGAAAATGTTCATCAGATTTATGTACAATGCAGTGTGTACAGTCATATTTTCTGTCTTTTAGTGGAGATATTATATGAGAGACTTGATTTGTTTACCAAATAAAGTAAATCTAATTGGATTTGCATTTTAAACATTAAATAAAATTTTAAAAGGTATTACTTTTTATTTCATATATTAAGGTTTTACTTACGATACTCCCAAAATTCTCAGCAGAAATAGCAAAAAACGTCCGCAGATTTCGTCTGGCCCTAGAGGTGAATTGAGTAAACTAAATTGGCCGTAGTGTATGTGTGAGACTGAGTATGGATGTTTTCCAGTACTGGGTTGCAGCTGGAGGGGCATCTATTGTGTAAAAGATATGCTGGATAAGTTGGCGGTTGATTCCGCTGTGGCGTTCCCTGATTAATAAAGGGACTAAGCCGAAGGAAAATGAATGAATGAAGTATATTCCCAGTATTGCAAATCTGTCTTATGTGCTTCATATGGTACAATAGATTTGTGAAAGTCTTATGGGTTTGTATGATACAATAAAAAATAATATAGATAAGCATTATCCAAACTTCATTTTCATATGAGCCTTTAGGAAACTAGTTTTGTTGAAACTGTCGTCTGTTTTTAATAAGAGTTTCTTGATAAATAACAATTTAAAAAGAGTATATGGAAACACTTTATTTTGATACTCCATTTGAATATTAGTAGACTGTCTGCTTAATATCTGTTGATACTGCTCATTCAATAGACATTTAGCTGACTTTAAGAAACTTTGCAAGTACATGTGAACTTGTACTAACCCTAACCCCAACCTAACAGTCTACTTATAATATAATGAGAATGTCTTGGCAAGGAGATGCAATGTAACTTATATTTAACAAACGGACCATCAAAATAAAGTGTGAACGAGTAGATTATTACATGTATTTACTGTATAGAAAAACACATATAGACTGAATGGGGTCCAGAAATTTTGTCCCTGTAATTTGTCCAAAAAGGAAATACGTATAAATATATTAGATATTATGATATTCATTTACCAGTGATGGGTTGCGGCTGGAAGGGCATCCGCTGCGTAAAAACTTGCTGGATAAGTTGGCGGTTCATTCCGCTGTGGCAACCCCGGATTAATAAAGGGACTAAGCCAACAAGAAAATGAATGAGTGAATGAATGATATTCATTATACATATTAGAATATATTATTTTGGTTAGCAAATGCAAAAATACTGATACTTTAACACAGGTTTGGTCAATTTTAGCTACATAAGTAGATTCCAAAATATAATAAGAGAATTCCGAAAGTATTTCGGCGTTTTACTTAATCCTGAGCTTTTCTTCAAAGCACACAAAATTTGGTTTGCAAATTAAGAGTTTGAGTTTTACTATCGAAATCGTTCTTGCTTGGGCAACACAGTGGCACAGTGCGTAGTAAAATTGCCTCACAGCAAGAAGGTCACTGGTTTGAACCTCGGCTGGGTCAGTTGGCATTTCTTTGAGGACTTTGCATGTTCTCCCTGTATTGGTGTGGGTTTCCTCCGGGTGCTCTGGTTTCCCCCACAAGTCCAAAGACATGTGGTTGGTGAATTGGGTAAGCTAAATTGTCCATAATGTGTGTGTGTGTGTGTGTGTGTGTGTGTGTGTGTGTGTGTGTGTGTGTGTGTGTGTGTGTGTGTGTGAATAAGTGTGTATAGATGTTTCCAAGTGATGGCTTGCAGCTGGAAGGGCATCAGCTGCGTAGAACATATGCTTTATAAGTCGGTGGTTCATTCCGCTGTGGCAACCCCAGATTAACAAAGGGACTAGGATGAAAAATAAATAAATAAATGAATGAATGGATTCTGCTTTTCTCTTAAAGCTCGTAAACCTTTTGGTGTCTACAACATTTTCCACTATGGTCATAAAGGCTTGACTATAGTGGTGTTTTATATGAATGCCTCAACCAAATGTCTTCAGCCTTTAAACTCTGTTTATCACAGCTCTTTAAGGTTTGTTACAGGCTGTCATAGACTAGCTCATTATTATGAACTGTATACCAAAGCTGCGTGGCCTCTCTTAAATGTAAGAAGGTATATTTACTGGATGACTCTAGTCTACAAAACTCTTCCTGGTGTGGTGCCTTCTTAATAGGTCAAAAAGCCACTGTGCCCTACGTTCAAGTAAAATTGAACATTTGTCTGTTGCTTGGGTTCAAACTGAAATAGGGAAGCGAGCTTTTAGTCATGCCACCCCTCATCCTGGAATACACTCAAGTCTGAAATGAAAATGTCTGAGCTCATCCTGATTAAATAAATTCGCTCTATCCTTTATATTTCTTAATGTATGTGTTTTTGACAGTATGGCTGAATAACCAAACTTGTAAATGAGATCTCGATCTCAGTGTTTTTTTTTTTGTTTTATCTGGTTAAATAAAGAAACATTATAATATTTAGAAGTGTCTAATGCACACCAATGCTGATTTTGTATGAAAGAATAAAAACTGGAACATTGTGAATCTTTACCAAATCTTTATTGTCATGAGATCTTTCAGAAAAATCTTCTGAAAATTGTTTTCTATTTTTATTATAAGAATGTCTTAATGAGTAGCAAGTTCAAAAGAATAAATAATAAGCATATTGTTACATTACACACTTTCAAAAATGATATTTACTGTTTGGTGTAACTAGTTAAAATGAGCTGAAACAACACAATTCTCTAGGTTTTTTTGGGGACAACTTAATTCCTTTATGTTGTTTCAACACAACTTGATTATGTGGAACCCAGCATGTTTTACAGTGCATGTACACTCAAATTATGTTTATTGTTTGTTCAAACTACTTATTTAAAATGACCTGAAACAACACAATTCAAAAGTATTTTTAGGGATAACTTGACTTGTTTTATGCCCAATACACTTAAATTGTATAAAACTAATAAGTTAACTTAATTCCTTCATGTTGTTTTAACACAAATCTATTGTGTGGTACCCAACACTTGTTACAATGTATATTTACTATATTGAGAAAAACACGTATAGACTGAGAGTCAGAATCAGACTGAGACTGGGCTCATTATTGCTGTAATTTGCATTCACACAGGTATATTCAGACATCGAGGAACTGGCTGTTTTTTGTGGAAGAGAGAAAACTGACACAGAACGGGTTCCTGCATCAGATATCATCCTGTCTCCAGGAAACGTGCTCAGTGTGGCTTTCCGTTCAGACTTTTCCAATGAGGAACGCTACTTTGGATTTGAGGCTCACTTCAGTGCGATTGGTGAGTGTATCGATAAACATAATCATGTTTGCTTTCTAGTTTCTTACAGAAATTTCTCTTCATTTTATCTTTCTGCAGATGTAGATGAATGCAGAGACAGAAATGATGAAGATCTTGTCTGTGATCATTTCTGCCACAACTACATTGGCGGCTTTTACTGTTCCTGTCGTTTTGGGTTCCTGCTTCATTCCGACAACAGAACCTGTAAAGGTAGAGTTTGAGAATCACAGAATTTAATGACATTTCTAGAGCCCAAAAAGTGCAAAATTGCTAGATTTTTCTGTACTTGTGTGTTCTACACTCTGGGTTTAACAGATTATATAATTTGTCTGTACCACTGAAAGTTGCACATGATTTTAAAAAGAAACAAAAGAGGATTTGATTCTTAGCAGAAAGAGATCCCTCATATTGTGCCCAAATAGCAAATTGAGTTTTCTGAAATTGTTTGGGTTTGGACAGATACACTCACCGGTCACTTAATTTGGTACACCTGTTCAACTGCTTGTTACCGCAAATTTCTAATCAGCCAATCACATGCCAGCAACTCTATGTATTTAGGAATGTAGACATGGATCATGCTGCAGTTCAAACTGAACATCAGAATGGGGAAGAAAGGTGATTTAAGTGACTGAATGTGGCATGGTTGTTGGTGCCGGGCTGCTCTGAGTATTTCAGAAACTACTGAACTACTGGGATTTTCATGAACAACCATCTCTAGGGTTTACAGAGAATGGTATGAAAAGGCGAAAATATCCAGTGAGCGGAAGCTCTGTGGGCGCAAATGCCTTGTTGAAGAGAATGGCCAGACTGGTTCGAGCTGATAAAAAGGCAACAGTAAATCAAATATCCAATTGTTACAACCGAGGAATGCAGAAGAGCATCTCTAAATGCACAACATGTCCAACCTTGAAGCGGATGGGCTATCAGTAGAAGACCAAACCGGGTACCAATCCTGTCAGCTTAAAACAGGTAACTGAGGCTACAATTCGCACAGGCTCACCAAAATTGGACAATAGAAGATCGGAAAAACGTTGCCTGGTCTGATGAGTCTCGATTTCTGCTGCAATATTTGGATCGTAGGGATCGTAGGATCGTAGAATTTGGCATCAACAACATGAAAGCATGAATCCATCCTGCCTTGTATTAACGGTTCAGGCTAGTGGTGGTGGTGTAATGGTGTGGGTTATATTTTTTGGCACACTTTGGGCCCATTAGTACCAATTGAGCATCGTGTCAATGCCACAGCTTAGGTTGGTATTCATTTTGCTGTTTTAATTCAGATATGTAAAGTTTTATTATTATTATTATTATTATTATTATTATTATTATTATTATTATTATTATTATTATTATTATTATTATTATTGCTGATCTGGATAAATTATCCTATCTCTGACTGAGGAATCATAATAACATCCAAACCATGATTCGTTGCACACCTTCTTGAGTAAATATCCAGCAAATCACTGAACTACTGACCAAATAGTATTGGTGTTTTTACACGTCCCTAGAACAGAAGTTTGACCCATTTCTTTTCTGCTTTGCTGCTAAACAATGGCAGTTTAAACACTGTTTATATGTGGCTGAATGAAGAAAATCCTTTAATTCTCCTAATACCCCTGAAAATGTTAATTAGTCAGTTAAGTTCACGTCACAACTAAAAAGATCATTCCTTTTGAGTGTGTGTGTGTGTGTGTGTGTGTGTGTGTGTGTGTGTGTGTGTGTGTGTGTGTGTGTGTGTGTGTGTGTGTGTGTGTGTGTTTGTGTGTGTGTGTGTGTGTGTGTGTGTGTGTGTGTGTGTGTGTGTGTGTGTGTGTGTTTATGCACTATAAAACTGCTTTTTAATTAAGTGTTGCCCATTTCTCATGATTCATAATAGTTTTCTGTGTATTTATGCTTTAAATTATGAAAAAAATATGGGACCTTGACCCCTTACAACTTTTGATGTTGAGAATTTATTTAACAAAGTAACTTTTATTGACATTTTGGTAGTTTTTTAAGAAATAATGTACAGTATTTATAAAGATCTATAAAATAGCAGAAAAAGTAGCTGTACTTGCATAAACACAGATAATATATTGTATCAGGCTTCTAATAATGTTAATAAAAGGGACTTTAAGCCACTTTCAACATCACAAGATGTCAGAGCAGAGATTGAAATCTTATAATTCCATTAAAAAGTGTAAATACTTTTAAAATTAAAAGTCACAAGCTACAAGCAGCAAGAGTTTTTATGTTGTCTTCATGTGTGTAAAACTGTCCTATAAATCACTTTTTTATATATGCATATTTACACATGAAAACCAAGCCGTCAGGAATTTGCTCTGAATTGCATAGATTTTTTTCAATAAATCTCATACCATTGGATTATCTAGGATTAGTTGATGGAATTTCTAATTAAAAAGCAGTGCTTTAGAATTTTTACAGTGTTGCGCATGTCCACTAATTAAAATGTGCACGTTTGTATAATGTTTGGAGATGTTGCTGTAATATGTTGTAGTGTTAGTTAATGTGTGTCTGTTTTATATCTGGCCTTTGCCCTCTCCTCTACTGATTGTAGCCAAGCACCAGCAGCTAAATATTTACATTGTGGTGGTCAGTGAGTTGTGGATAAACTTGTGAACTTCAAACACTCGATTAGAACAGTTGCAAGCTCTGACGCTTACATGCATTTCAATGTAATTGTTTACTTCTTATTTCGGAGGGATTTTAAAAGCCATTGTAGTGTAGATAGACTTGGTGTTTTGTAATTTTACGACTGCTGCTCATGCACATTTTTGCTTCGGATTCCGAATGATGCTGAAAACTAAAAGGTTGTGTTTGTAATTTCAGTGGAGTGCAATAAGAATGTGTACACGGAGCGCTCTGGAGAAATAACCAGTGCTGATTTCCCAAAAGCGTACCCCAAAAGCTCTGAGTGCAAGTACAGCATTGAGCTGGAGGAAGGTTTTCAAGTCAGTCTGGAGTTTGATGACACGTTTGATATCGAAGACCACCCTGAAGTCTCCTGCCCTTATGACTTTATCAAAGTGAGACTCCTACAGCTTTTCTGTGAATATTTTGTGTGTTTTTTTTATGAATATTTGAATATACAGTTAAAGTCAGAATTAATAGTCCCCCTGTATATTGTTGTCCCCAGTTTCTGTTTAATGGAAATAATTTTTCATCATATTTCTAAACATAATCATTTTAATAACTCATTTTTAATAACTGATTTATTTTATCTTTGCCATGATGACAATAAATAATATTTGACTAGATATTTTTCTAAATACTAGTATTCAACTTATATAGTGACATTTAAATTAATCACTAGATTAATTTGGCAAGTTAGAGTAATTAAGCAAGTCATTGTGTAACAGTGGTTTGTTCTGTAGAACAATTGCTTAACGGGGCATATAATTTTGACCTTAAAATGGTTTTATGAAAATTCAAAACTGCTTTTATTTAAGCTGAAATAAAACAAATAAGACTTTATGCAGGAGAAAATATATTATCGGAAATACTGTGAAAATTTTCTTGCTCTGTTAAACATTTTCTTTTTGAAAAAGAAAAACTAATTCACATTTTGACTTCAACTGTAGGTCAAAAACGAGATAGCATCAAAATAAATTGACTGTGATTTTTTATTTTTTTTATATATACACTGAAATCATAACACTCTTAAATGACTATTTTAATGTGTTTGATAAAGTATGACATTATATATTAAAATATGACAGTAATATTTGATAATAACCTTTGTAAAAATATTTAAAATAATATTCCATCATAATTCAGTGTGGCAGAGAAATTTATGTAAAAGCGATTCAATATTCTCATCATATTTAATATGTAAAAATGTACTACATTTTAATTACATTTAAAAAAATTTAAAACATGTTATCAACATAACTGTACAACCTTAAATGATAGTGTAAAATATAAACATATACATGAAAAATTAATAAGTAGTTTGTGGTGACACTACTGAATGGTAAATAATTATTCTAAATACACCTGACAATAATTTTTGGTATATAATTAATGTACTGTTCTACTGCTACTGCACATTTAATGGCATTTGATCATTTTTTTAATGAAGAGTTACAGATAGCGTATAATTAGATCATATAATTTATTATAGCTTATTGTTATATAATGCCACTTATATATACATACTAAAGGTAAGTCATTCTGTTTTTCATAATTTGTAGTTAACAATAAAAGATTACTCTAAAGAAAAGCATTATCCTAAATATTTGCACTATATTAAAGAGCACCTATGATGAAAATCAACTTCTGTCAGCAGTTTGACTGAACTGTGTGTAGGTATAGTACAGGGATCACCAAACTTGTTCCTGGAGGTCCGGTGTGCTGCAGATTTTAGCTCCAACCCTAATCCAACACAACTGAACAAGCTAATCAAGGTCTTACTAGGTATACTTGAAGCACCCAGGCAGGTGTGTTGAGGCAAGTTGGAGCTAAACACTGCAGGGACACCAGCCCTCCAGTAACAAGATTGTTGACCCCTGGTATAGTGTGTCCACTGTCATATTGGAGTGAAATAACCCAACGAATCTCTTTTTTAAAATTTCCTGACGCTTAAATAGGATACAAATCTCAGTGGTTTTGAGGCCCACCGCAACGTGACATTTAAAAGTGTGTTTTTCCCCACCCACCGAATTGATTGACAGGTGCCATGTTTCTATAATAACATGTATACACATGTCCACAGAACACTTTTTTGCAAAGAAACCAGGATTAAAAAATCAGTTCCAACTCTAAGTTTTAAAAACAGAGCATGTTTGTAGTAAAGACAGTAAAATTGCTATGTAATTCCTAACCGCTATAATCACCACGGCTGCATGGTGTCAGTAAAAGCGCTTTTATATGTATGTGTGTGGTGGCATTTGTGTGTGATTCATCATTTCAGAAAGGCTTGATTAAACTCCACCACAAATACATGAATTACTTGATATTTCTGACTAATGAGCTGTATTTCAGCTTCATCCGTGTCTGTCTCTGTCACTGACTTCTGTTTATCTGCTGTAACGCAGGAGATGCAGATATGCACGTGGAACAGTGGGCGGGGAGAAGAAGCTCATTTGCATTTAAAGCCACAGGCTACAAAATTCTGGAGGCTATAATAAATAATCTGATTGGTATTTTGAGCTGAAACTTGACAGATGCATTCTGGAGACACCAAATGCTTATCTTGTAAGGGGTAAAATAGGTTCCCTTTAAACATTCATTCATTTCAAGTCCATTTATTAATCTGGGGTCGCCACAGAGGAATGAACCGCCAACTTATCCAGCATATATTTTACGCAGCGGATGCCCTTCCAGCTACAGCCCATCACTTGAAAACATCCATCCACACTCATTCCCACTCATACACTATTGACAATTTAGCCTACCCAAATCACCATAGCGCATGTCTTTTGACTTGTGGGGATCTTCACAAGTCCAAAGACATGTTCTCCTCCGAACATGGGGAGAACATGCAAACTCCACACAGAAATGCCAACTGACCCAGCCGAGGCTTGAACCAGTGACCTTAATGTTGTGAGGTGAATGCTACCCACTGCGCCACCGTGCAGCCCCCCCTTTAAATGTTAATTTATTAATATAGGTTTATTTTAATATGGAGTGTTCAATGCGCTTTTACATAAATCATAAAAACAATGTGTTCAAATATTATTACTTTAATAACAGATTAATGTAAAGAAAAGGGTTATTGTCTTTCAGTCTATACTGTTACAGTATGTGCAGTAGATAAAACTTATTGTTTCCTTTTCAAATCAATTTTACTAATAGTTTAATACAAATTATTTTAAGTTTTTTGGGGAAAGAAATATGTGCATTGCTAAATAAAATATGTAGTGTATGATATTTTTCAATCATGTTTATCCACAGATTCAGGCAGGAGAGAAAGAGTTTGGTCCATTTTGTGGTGAGAAGTCACCTGGGAAGATCCAGACAGGAAGTAACATCGTCAACATCCTGTTTCACAGTGACAACTCCGGAGAGAATCTCGGCTGGAAACTCACTTACACCTCTACAGGTTAGAAATTCACTGCACCATACGATTGTTCATTTAGAAGTCTTGAAAACATAGGTGGGTTAATTATGTTTTGTACTGTTTGACTGTGTTTCTACTTGACATTAACATGCTTCTATGGGTTATCCAATGACAGCTGGTCAGACAAGACTAATTAACATTTCCATCTGCTAAATCATATGTTTAATTTGATGTTGTGACCACTGGTGTTTGGATGAAAATGAAAATATCAGATGGAAACGAGGCCTAGAAATAAGAATCTATACATGTGAATAAATCTAGATTCTTATCTAGATATAAGAATGTTTTATGTACCATTTTCCACCCATGACTACTGCATTTAAAATTTGCACTGTACTTCCAAACTAAGTGATACAGTACATGTGGCTCTGTGCTTTAATGTTTTTCATTATTAAATATTGTTGCACTTTTTAAGGTGACATTAGTATCACAAACTTTTAAATAAACCAGTCTTTTCTTTAAACCAGTCTTTACAGTACAGTAAAATTCAATATGTATCTATAATGTCAGTGTGGAAGGACTCATCTCAAGATTTTGGGGTTATTCATGGTCTGCTCAAAGTAATTTGTTAAAGGTCCTGTGAAATTAAAATGACGTTTTGTAGATGTCAGCATCAGTCTAGATAGCTCCAAAGCAGTGACACAATTCATATTTAGAAGATATGAAACTTATACAAGCATCCAAAGCTTGCAGTTTGTCTATTTCGCCTAAATGGATCGACTATTTTTTCATGTCACCTCATACTTCCGTTTCTCATCAAATCTTGACCAATCAAATGCTCTTTAGTATCTCTCATACCCTATTTCTCATTTGCTTCTCAATGTGATGCGCTTGAGCTCAACCACGCTCACAGGCAGAGCTGTGATGAAAGCAGAAAGCTACTGGTTGTTTCTTAAAAAGGGAAGGAGCTGATATGAGTCCCGTCCTGTCCTAATGTTTTTGGTTGAGATTAAACATCAAATTAAAATGCACATTTCAAAGCATTTCACAGGATCTTTGATTCTAATAAGTGAAGTTTCACAAGCTAATTCCGAGAGGAGCACGTGATATGATTGACCGCAGCTGGTCTCTCATCTACAATCATTAGTTAGCCAATCAGATTAATCCAAACTCATTATAAGTCGCCTAGGAAAAATTACTCCCTTATCTTCCTTTACAGAACAAACCCCTCATCCACCTCTTCTTCCCCTCTCAGGGGAGCTCTCGAGAACTTAAACTTTACAGACACATTCTTACAAAAGACTTATCTTAAATCTTGAAAAAGGGGTAAAATAGTTGTCCTTTAAAGGAACTATTTTTAAGCATGAATCCTTTTAAAATGTTAACATTTTTATCAAAATAAACTTTACAAATCTGATTTTTATTTTATGTTGCTCTTTTTTATTGTTATATATATTTTTTTTTCAAGAGTTCACACTTAGATAGTGCTTGACTATTTAAGCTAGTTTGGCATGCTGTCCCGGGAGAGAACCCTGAGCTCGGTGATAGATGAGCCCAAGGCTCCCGCCTGGTCAATAAGCATTAGGAGGGATATGAGATCAGGTAGTTCTCGATAGCTCCCAAAATAAATCACTATTGGCGCTAATTTGTAGTATGTGCTTGTGACTTTAACTTTGCATGGTTTTTTAGGTGTGGGAGGAAACCGGAGTACCCGGAGAAAACCCACGCGAACACGGGGAGAACATGCAAACTCCGCACAGAGAGTATCGGTTGGCTCAGCTAGTGTTGAACCAATGACCTCCTTGCTGTGAGGCAACAGTGCTAGCCACTGAGCCGCCGTGACGCCCGAACTGAGGAGGAGGGAGAAGGGAAGGATGGGGGGGTTTTCCAAAAACGAAGATGAGGAATGGAGTTTAGGCTGGATATTTATATTAAATTTAGAGTGATCCGATTGGCTAGTTAGTGATTAGTGATACGGATCAGCTGTAGTCAATTCTATCACGTGCTCCTCTCGAAATTAGTTTGGGAAACTTCACTTCAAGAGTTCACACTTAGATAGTGCTTGACTATTTAAGCTAGTTTGGCATGCTGTCCCGGGAGAGAACCCTGAGCTCGGTGATAGATGAGCCCAAGGCTCCCGCCTGGTCAATAAGCATTAGGAGGGATATGAGATCAGGTAGTTCTCGATAGCTCCCCATAAATGCCATTGTGTCGGGACAGCAGCCGTGTATTCGAAGAACGCCCCCCAAAAGGCTAGAATTGCTATATCCGGCTGCTGGATATAGTGATTTGAGAAGAAATTAGAGAGGTAGAGGAGATGCAGGCTTGTAAGAGCCTTGATGGGAAAAGATGGGACTCTATCTCCGATGGAGGTAGTGTAAAAATAGGCAAATGTTATGAAATAATGTATATGTCCGCATGCGGGCATATAATTATCTATTCATATGGGCATATATCCATATACGCACGTGTGCTGTGTTTTTTTTTTTTTTTTTTTTTTTTTTTTTTTTTTTTTTTTTTTAATATGCACATATGAATAGGTAAAATAAAACAAATTAAGCTCGTGGAGTGACTCGTGCTCGTAGTCACAGTTCGGGAAGAGCTTAGGGGTGACGGCACTAGTGAAAATGTATATGCGCGGCGTAGGCGCACGCGGCATATGATTATATTATTCATATAGGCATATATTTGTAGGCATGTTGCGCATTCCTCATATATGCGTATATAAACAGTCAAAGCAAAATAAATAAACAAAAGAAGCTAGGGCTGGTGGGGGGGGGCAGTGACGTGACTCGTGCTCGTAGTCACAGCTCGGGAAGTTGAGCTATCAAAGGCTGGTTCTAGAAGGAGTCGGGAAGGGGAAAATTTGGCCGATGGAGACTCCTACTAGAGGAAAAAGGGGGGTTTTAAGCTCTGGGACCGCTCCTGCGGTGGCCAGAGCTTAGGGGTGACAGCACTATGTAAAAATGTATATATCCGCATGCGTGGGCGCATGCGGGCATATGATTCTGTTATTCATATAGGCATATATTTGTAGGCGTGCCATACACACTCCTCATATATGCGTATATAAATGATCAAAGCAAAATAAGATAAATAAAAGAAGCTAGGGCTGGTGGGGGGGGGGGCAGTGACGTGACTCGTGCTCGTAGTCACAGCTCGGGCAGTTGAGCTATCAAAGGCTGGTTCTAGAAGGAGTCGGGAAGGGGGAATTTTGGCCGATGGAGACTCCTTCTAGAGGGCAAAAGGGGTTTTAAGCTCTGGGACCGCTCCTGCGGTGGCCAGAGCTTAGGGGTGACAGCACTATGTAAAAATGTATATATCCGCATGCGTGGGCGCATGCGGGCATATGATTCTGTTATTCATATAGGCATATATTTGTAGGCGTGTCATACACACTCCTCATATATGCGTATATAAATGATCAAAGCAAAATAAGATAAATAAAAGAAGCTAAGGCTGGTGGGGGGGGGCAGTGACGTGACTCGTGCTCGTAGTCACAGCTCGGGAAGTTGAGCTATCAAAGGCTGGTTCTAGAAGGAGTCGGGAAGGGGGGAATTTGGCCGATGGAGACTCCTTCTAGAGGGAAAAAAGGGGGTTTAAGCTCTGGGACCGCTCCTGCGGTGGCCAGAGCTTAGGGGTGACAGCACTATGTAAAAATGTATATATCCGCATGCGTGGGCGCGTGCGGGCATATGATTCTGTTATTCATATAGGCATATATTTATGTGGGCGTGCTATACTCGCTCCTCATATATGCGTATATAAATGATCAAAGCAAAATAAGATAAATAAAAGAAGCTAGGGCTGATGGGGGGGGCAGTGACGTGACTCGTGCTCGTAGTCACAGCTCGGGAGTTGAGCTATCAAAGGCTGGCTTCGCAGGAGTCGGGGAAGGAGGGAGGAAATGGAGACTCCTCTGAGCGGGGTGGTGGTGATGCTGGGCGGGGATTGGCGGGGGTGGGGGTGGGGGGGGGATAGTTACGTTATGGGTTGGTATTATGACTCATTGACATGGTCTTCTGGGCTTCTTTAAGATGACTTTGGCTTAGGCGAATGTATGACTTGAAGGCATCAGATGTCCACCTCCCCAATGTCTGTATATGCTGTTGAGATAGTCCTCTATGAGCTGCGGTAGTGGCGGCTCCGATTCTAAATGAGTGGCTGGAGTATGGTTCTGGAGAAATGCCAGAAAGGCGAAGGACTGCTTTAAGGTGTTTTTGAAACCAGAAGCGTGTTACTGGGCGAGATAAATCATCTATGAAAAGGGGGGAGAGAGGGGTGGGATTGAGAGTTTTTCTGTAGTGAATGTATGCTAGGAGTGTTTGAAACGGGAATGTAGAGGAGGGGATGTCGAATATGTAAATTAGGTGTCCTTTGCGTGATTGATCGGTCTTGCTTTGCTTGATGAGGAAGGATATTGTTTCCCCGTCAACCAAAGTTAGATCTGATATGGTGGGGTGGATGCTGGGCACGAATTTTGAAGTTATAGAAATTTCGGAACATCTTAGGAATCCGAAAAAAGAAAGTATGAACATAGCATCCAGGGTACGATCTGTGTGTGTGGATACATAGCCTTTACGAAGGGTGGAGATACATTTAGACAGTATATGGTGTGTGATGGGCAGCCTAGAGTCTGGGAGGGAGGGGTGGGTTTTTTGAACGCCTTTAATAAGAAGGCTGGTTTGCGAATTTGCTATATCATCTGAAGTAGAGCCATGAATTAACTTGTGAAAGAATTGGATGCCACTTAAATAGCTTCTGATGGAGCTGGCTTGTATGTTTTTGTATGAATGGAGGTATGTGATGAATGAGGTAATTGTAAGCAAGGAAAAATCTGGAAATGATGTGTTGTACAGGAAATGGAAATGTTTGAATGTATTCCATGCAGTAAGATATGTTTGTAAAGTTCTAGGAGCAACAGCATTTAAAATAAGGGAGATGGACGTCTGATGCAGGTGATGCATAGGGTGGTTTATAGGAATATCATCTCTGAATAAGGAGGCACTGGATGCGGATGTAGATCTGCTTCTGGTGCGAGCATTCGAAATTTCTGAAACAGAAAACGAGAGAGAGAGTCAGCAATTTGATTATGAAAACCTGGTACATGTTTAGCTGTTATGATAAACTGTTTTTTGGCGGAGGTCCAAATGAGGCGGCGGAGGAGCGGCATTAGCGCGGGAGAGTGTGAGCGCCTTTTGTTAATGCATTGAACAACGGCTTCATTGTCGCAATGGACTAGAATGCTGGAGGCGGACCATTCATCTCCCCACAATATGGAAGCGGCGACTAAAGGATATAATTCGAATAGTGCTGACGATTGATGGTGAGGGGGAATTTCGATCATTTGGTGAGGCCATGAAGATGCGAACCAGCGACCCTGGTAGTATCCACCGAACCCTATTGAGGGAGCGGCGTCTGTGTATAGTTGAATATCGATCGGGGATTCTATCAGGTCGCTATAGAAAAAGGAACAGCCATTCCAGCACTTTAGGAAGGAAATCCAAAGGCTGAGTTCGTGACGGCATTGGTCGGATAGAGAGAGAGAATCATCTAATCCGGGGACCGATGCTGCTAATTGGAGAAGGTGAGTTACAAAGGGACGTCCTTGGGGAATGATACGCATGGCGAAATTTAAATGTCCTAAAATGGACAAAAGTTCGCGCTTTGAGCAATTTTGATTTTCCAAAAATATTGAGGATAATGCGATGATGCGGTCGATTTTTTCTTTAGGTAAGGAGGCTTGGAATTTGTTTGAATCCAATTTGATGCCTAAAAATTCTAGTGAAGTACCAGGTCCCGAAGTTTTTTCCTCTGCGAGCGGAATGCCGAGATTGTCGAAAACTGTTTTTGTTATTGTCAGGTGTTCTGTTGCGGGGTTACTCGGGGGTGAGATAATGAGGAAATCGTCGAGGAGATGTAGTATGTGCGCGATGCCGTAGTTATTTGACAGGATCCAGCATATAGCTTCCGAAAGCATGTCAAATATTTTTGGACTACTTCTGCATCCGAAGGTAAGGCGTACGGCGAAGTAGAATTTAGATCTCCAATTAATGCCAAAGAGATGCCAGTAGTCGGGGTGTAACGGCATAACTTTGAATGCCGAGGAAATGTCTACTTTAGCGAGCCAAGCGTTGCGGCCGACTAATTTGATCAGGGATATCGCTTGGTCTATATCGTGGTAGTTTAGCGCGTATTCCTCTGGAGGAATGATGCTGTTAATGCTAGAGAAGCAAGAATTATGAGGGGATGAAAGGTCGATTATGAGGCGTTTTTTGCCAGAAAATTTTCTGGTAGCTATGCCGATTGGACTAATTCGGTATACTCTGAAGGGGGGAGCAAGAAAGGGACCGATCATAAAATTATTATCGATCTCTTTCTTGATCAGTTGATCTACGACTTCTGGTTCTGCGGTGGCTGACATTAAATTAGGGCAGGCCAGGTTGTAGGACGGAAGAGTAGAGACGCCGGGGTGAAATCCGTTGGATAAACCTGTAATGAGAAAATCAGAGAAGTTAGAATCAGGGTGCAAACTTAATTCATGAGCAAGTTGAGAAATATTAACAGGAGTCGACAGATACTGCTTGGATTTTTTATTAGCTTTTTGGACTTGGCAAACAATGCGTGCGTGCGCGCCTCCGCAGTAGTTACAGATGTGGAGAAATTTGCATGGGTGTCGGTAGCATCTTCCGGAATTGAAGTTGAAGCAGGGATTATGAGAAGATTGATTTCGGGAAGAAGACTGAGAAGGAAGAAGAGCAGGGATAGCGGAGGTGGATGTACGAGGAACGTAGCTGGTGGATCTTGGATTAGGTGGAACTGTATCAGAGGGAGGGATGACGAAGGGACAGGAGGTGGTGGAGTGGAGACTGGAACGGCAGACCGCGCAGGATAGATTACGGCAACCGAGAAAGACTCTGTTATGGAGATCAAAGTCGATAGCCCCCCAATATTGAATTTGATTCCATTGTGAGACGCGAATTGCGCATTTTGCTGAAAATAACTTATGATAGGTGTAAAAATGTGTTCCCCCATAGGAGAGCGCGAGCTCCGAAATAATGGCCATGTAATCGTTGAGCTCGCGCCTCCTATGAGGAAAAACCGAGCAAATTACCTCTGTGTATCTGGAAAAAGCTACGTGAAATTCTGCTAGTGAAAGAGTGCGGGTTTGAGAACTGGTGGATGGTTTCAGTATGAGTGCAAATTCGCCGCAATCTATCTGGCGTTCTGCCGTGGGAGGTGCAATGGGTGAAAGAAGTGTGGAGAGATCTATGTCAGCACCTGAGATGATGAGATTCCTGATGGTATTGGAGACGGGTGGAGGTTCCAGAGCTGGAGCATTCTGAGGGATGGGAAGAGGTACGGCAGTGGCTAGGGTGAAGGGGGGGTGAGTGGAAGAAATGTTAGTAGGGAGAGGAGGATGCGGAGGAGGGTTAGTATTAGATGCGAGTGCTTGGTGGAGGGATGAAGAGGGCATGAATGAAGGAATATTGGAGGGAGAAAAAGAAGAAGAATGAAGAGGAGCATTAGTACTGATATTTGTAGGCTCGTGTGAGTGGATGAGGTTGGTAGATGTAGATGGAAGGTTGGAAGGAAGAGAAAACTGTAAGGGATTAGTAGCATAAAGATGAGGACTGGGAGTTGCGCTAGATTGAGGAGCTTGTGGCCAGAAGAAGGTGGCGTTGTTTTGCTGGGTAGCGTTGATGTCTGGGTTATTGTCCTTGGTTTGATTAGATGTGGTTCCAGTAAAGCTCCTATTATCTTGGTGGTGTTGGGCTTGTGGTTTTTTGGTGTTCTTGGTTTTTCCAGTTGCTTTTCTTGGTCCGGGTTGGTTAGAGGCTGGCGGAGAAGCGCTGTGCTGGGGATACGGGGCGTGGCGGGAGCGAGTGTTCCTGGTGGGCGGAGTCGATGAGGTAATGGATGTGTACAGTTTGAGGAGTTCAGTCTTATTGCATCGGCTTGGAATGGAAATGCCGGCGTCTGTGATGCTTTGGCGGAGTTCGTTTGCGGTCATGTTCCTGTTGATGGTTGGTGAAGATGTTGCGGAAGCGTACGAAGAGGCTGGTGAAGGTGGATGGAGATTTGTAGCATACGGGGATGAGGATTGAAGACGGCGAGATAACCTTGTTGCTGTTGAACGGATTGGCCTTCGGCCTCTTACTGTAGCCTCGGGCTCAAGCTGGTTCCCACTCTGGGTAAGTTGATGCTGGTCCTCGGCTGAAGTTTCTAGGATAGCGCCGCTTTCATTAGCTTGGTGGAGATTGTTGTTGTTGTTGTTGTTATTGCTGCTGCTGGTGGTGGTGGAGAGCGTTTGGTGCTTTTCCATTTTGCAGATTTTTTGCTTGCTTGAGTCGCTAGCTGTTTCCGTGTCTTCCAAAAACGAAGATGAGGAATGGAGTTTAGGCTGGATATTTATATTAAATTTAGAGTGATCCGATTGGCTAGTTAGTGATTAGTGATACGGATCAGCTGTAGTCAATTCTATCACGTGCTCCTCTCGAAATTAGTTTGGGAAACTTCACTTAAAGTGATAGAAACATGATATTTATAAAACCTCAACATTCTTCCAAATATCCACCTTTGTGTTAAACAGAAGAAAGAAACAAATGATGACAAAACTTATTTTCTGTTCTTGGCCAAAAACTTCATATTATTATATGAATCATATTGTTAGTGCTTTGTTAGTGCTTTTGTAAGCTTTGTTAGTGCTTTGTAAGCATGATCAAAATCTATTTTACATAGGTATAAAGCATATTTTAAAATAATAGTTCTATGTTCTATGATATGCTGTAATAAATTTGAACGTCATTGTTTTTCCTATTATTTACCATGTATATGTAGACGTTACATGAGACATTACATTATGAAAATGTACTTGAAAGTTCTGGAAAATGCATGGGATTTTAGTTGTAAAAATGTGTATGAATCCTGAATTATAGAAACATGATATTTATAAAATGTTGTAAATTTGATCCGTGCTTTCCATAAAGAAATAGCCAGAGAGCTGATATGCTAAAGTCAATACTCTTGGTTCCATACCTTTATGAGTCTCTTTTTTCTGTTGAACTCAAAAGGGGATAGTTTGAAGAATGTTGAAAACCGGTAACCATTCACATACATAGAAAGATTAAAAACTGTTATGGAAGTCAATGATTTTAACATTCTTCCAAATATCTATTTTTGTGTTCAACATAAATAAGAAGCAAATGATGACAGAACTTTCATTTTTTAAGTGAACTATGTCTTTAAATATCAGGTGTAAACCAGGCTACTGTTCCAGAAATGAATATGTTTGAATATGTTGCCGTCTTCAGGTCCTGAATGCTCTCCTCCAACGCCGCTCCTCAATGGACAACTAGAGCCTCTGCAGCCTATTTACATCTTCCGAGATCACATTACGCTGACCTGTGACCCCGGATACTTGCTGAGACAGGTTAGGCGAAGGTCACCATTCATTTGCGCTGATAAAGCCACTGACCGTTGCATGATTGAGATAAATCAGCGCTGTTTTACATCACACACTGACGGTCGCAGTCTCTCTTACAGGGTGATGAAGAATTCGAGCACTATCAGATCGAGTGTCTGAGGGATGGGAAATGGAGCAGTGGCGTCCCGCTGTGTAAAAGTGAGTCTTTTAACAGAGATAGTTCTGTTTTCCATCTGTCTTGTTTTTTTTTTTCCTCACTTGCCCTTTCTCACTGTTTTCTTATTCTAATTCTCTTTGCTGCCACCAGAGAAGGAATCTCAAAGGAGGAGTCGTTCTCTGCTGAGCATTTTAACCAATCAGATACTGAGTTAAATCCTTAAAGGGACTGGCAACTACGGCGCTCATGGTGCAGCATGGATGTAGCACTTGATATATTCATTGCCTTTTGACAATGTTGGGGTTATTAAGATATATTTATTGGTGGCAGAGGTTGATCCAATTTGACAGTAAAGCAATTTATAATGTTCCAAAATAGTTCTGTTTTTAGGTTTTTCACTGGTTTGGACGTTTCTATTCATCAAGTAATAGTGACAAAGATGTATATGGGTTTTGATAAAAATACTAAGGAAAGCAACTGTTTTTTTGGGCCTTTTTTAGAGCATCATTGACACTGAAATAGTGTTTATTTACTTCTCTTTTACATTATGAGGGATCAATCATACATCTTTTGATGTTGAAAAGTTTAACAAAGTGATTTTATTATCTATATTTATGGTCCTGGACCCCAAAGGAGTTTATTTTTAGGATATATTTGTGGGAATAGGCAAAAATACATTATATATAAAATTATAATTTTTTTTACAAATTGTTACAGAATTCATCAGAATCGTATTATGTTCCGTGTAGAGTGAAGATGTTTTGTGAATTTCCTTCTGTAAATATATCAAAACGTTTTTTTTTTTTTTTTTTTTTTTAGGAATATTGCTTAGAGCAGAATTTGAACAAATTTGTTTATTTGTTCAAATTTGAACAAATTTCTTTAACACTTTCTATGACACTCATGAATTATAATGAATATAAAAAAATGAATATATATATATATATATAGAGTTCAGACTTATTAGCCCCCCTGTTTATTTTTTTCCTCAATTTCTGTTTAAGGAAGAGAATATTTTTTTAAAAACATTTCTAAACATAAAAGTTTTAAAAGCTCATTTCTAATAACTGATTTATTTTATCTTTGCCATGATGATAGTACATAACATACAACAATAGGTTAATTAGGGTAACTAGGCAGGTTAGGGTAATTAGGCAAGCTATTGTATAACAATGGTTTGTTCTGTAGACTATCCAAAAAATAGCTTAAAGGGGCTAATCATTTTGACCTTAAAATAGTCTTTAAAAATTAAAAAAGTGCTTTTAATCTAGCCAAAATACCTTAATTAAGACTTTTTCCAGAAGAAAAAAATCAGACATATTGTGAAAATGTCCTTGGTCAGTTAAACATAATTTGGGAAATATTTCATTAAGGAAAAAAAATTCAAAGGGTGTTGATTAATTCTGATTGCACCTGTGTGTGTGTGTGTGTGTGTGTGTGTGTGTGTGTGTGTGTGTGTGTGTGTGTGTGTATAAATATTTTATTATTATATATATTATATATAAAATATTTATATATATATATATATATATATATATATATATATAAAATTGATAAGTTCACCCCTTACAAATCTATCTTTTAAGTTCATATTTTTAATAGAAAGCTTTACAATATTATGTTTGTGGATATACATTAGATTAGTCAGTACATTAGCCAGATCTGGAACTTATCTAACAAAATAACTTACAATAATATTCTAAATGCTACAGTAGCAAAGCCTAATTTAATACAAAATATTACACTTAAAATTATTAAATATACAAATATTAAATATCAAATAAAATTTTGCTTAAATGTTCTTATATTATCTTTCAATTTCTAATTTCTAAATATGTTTGATTACTAAAATATTATTTTAATAAATAGATCTGTTTAATTAAACGGTTTTGTTTAAATGCAAGATCACTGAGAAATGGATAAATAAATATATATATATATATGTATATATATATATATATATATATATATATATATATATATATATATATATATATATATATATATATATATATATATATATATATATTTAAAATTTATAACAATTTAAACAAAACATCTATGCAAAACATCTTCAGCCTCAAATACTAAACATGATTGTGCTTTTTTCAGAATGGGAAATGGTTTTAAGTAGAAGGTTTCCATCTACTGGTCATTAATGGTTTTTCATCACAAAGGTCTCTGTGCTGAAATGATCTAGTGAACAAACACACTCTCACACATAGTACATATAATACACTCATGCCTTTCACTATTTGGCTTTATTTTGAGACAGAAGTACACACACATACAGTAAATGCACTTAGACTTTTAGACAGGACTGACCACAAACTGCTGGAGCTGTTGCCAATGGACAACTCAAGTGGAAGAGTGGACACTTTTGGTATGATTGTGATATTCACTATTTAAATACTTCAATTGCTCATCAAATCTAATCTCTTCCATCAAGAATCCTCCAACATTATGCATGGCCTATTGTAAAATTCATTCTTTACATTTAGTATCATATGATTTTCACCTCATAATTCCTAATAATTCATATCCTAATAATTAGATTCATACCATGCCATACACTCCTTTTTCTTTTGGAGTTTTCTAGTTTACATTTACAAGCAATTACATTTTCAATGGGAATCAATGGGTCATTTACTGTTTTTTTGTTGTTGTTTTTTTTGCAATTTCTGTGACATTTACTAGCAATTCCAGAGTGAACATTGCTTCTGTGTCAATTTTCTTTGTATTTGTAATCTGTCAAACATCTAAGTTACAACCATATTATGTAATATTGTATGAACATTTTAACATTATTGTTATTATTCATAAAGTAAAAAGTAATAAAAAAGAAATAAGAGTCATACCAAAATATTTTCTAATGAAATCCAAAAACAAGGCTCTTTAATTCAATTTCTTTCTCATCTTCCCTAGAGGTTGACTGTGGTCCAGTAGATGAACTTCTGGCTGAGGTTGTTTTTGTGAACTCTGACAACAGCACTGTGTTTGGATCCCAAATCCAGTACAGCTGCAGAGACTCTGCTGTCAACAGTGAGTTTTTCACTGATTCAGTCACTGATGCACTGAATATGAGGTGCTGTGTAAGATTTAAATCAAGCTTTGCTTATCAACACATACATAAAACACGTGCATATACACATAGAACAATTACTTGCATATGCATCTATACTATTGGATGTTTAAAACTATATATATATATATATATATATATATATATATATATATATATATATATATATATATATATATATATATATATATATATATATATTAGGGATGCACAATATATCGGCGGCCATATCTGGTTCATATACCAAGAACATTTGAGCTGGTTTTAGTCCTTTCATTTTCATTTTGTTTAAAATATATTTAACTTGCTTGTTGATTAAATCCCATTTTGTAATTTTATGCAACAGTCAAGTTGTATGTTCACTTGCTATGAAGAAAATGAAATAATATATTTTTTGCATGCTGATTTATGTGAAATTGTGAAAATAGGTCTAATCACCTTGCAATTTTGAAATCATAGCTTTTTTGCTTTAAGTATAGACTATTTAGTTCAAAAGAGCTGAGTTTCAGCTTTTATGAACTTTGCTGTATAAAAATATAACATTTTGAAATATTTATAATTATTTATAATATTTATATTTATAATTATCAGCCTATACATGTCGGCTATCAGCCTCCAAGTCTGAATAATTATCGGTTATCGATATCGGCCAAAAAACCATATCGGTGCATCCCTAATATATATATATATATATATATATATATATATATATATATATATATATATATATATATATACACACCCACATTATATATATATATATACACCCACATTAACTTATGCAGATACATATAAACTCGGTGTATGCAAACACACCTTTACTCGCATATAACCTCAATGCCTACTCTCAATGCATATATAAACACCCAAATAACACTCGGGCAGACATACAAAATTCAATTCACAAACCTATAGACCTACAATTTATCATAAATCAGGTTATTGCAAAGCTTATGAAATAGAAACAATGTGAAATAATGAAAATATATTATATAAAATAATATAGAATATTATATACATTTAAAATATATAAGAAAGATTTTTTAGAGTCCTATTAAACACTTTGGACTCTGGCATTTTACAGACACATACACCTGTAACCAGAGTGGGATATGGCTTAGTGATGATGGGATGCCGCTGCCCTCCTGTCTGCCAGGTAAGGTGTGTTACCTGAGAATCCCTTAAGCTTTCCCTTTCCACTGCACACAACAAGCGACAGACCGGAAGTCATTCATTTCCAATGGAGAGTATTTGGGAGCTGCGTGGAGTTCCGATCATCTCCGTATGTGGAGAATTCGGATCCGAACTGAGCTTCGGATCCGTTGAAATATTTGAACTCCTGCGACTAGACCGTATGCGACCGGCCAACCGGATGTAATGTATTCCAGTGTTGTCCAAGCTGGTCCATGCTCGCGAGATGAGAAATAGTAGTTTATTTGGTTATTTTTTTAACCAAAAAAAGTCTCTATATATATAAAAACATTTCTGTTCATAAATGTAAGTAATAAAGTAAAAAATTTAGAATTTCTTATGTTGTCTCCACATTCACTCCAATATTTTTAGCAGTCCATGAGTCTCTAGTATTTATTCATTCATTCATTCATTCATTCAACCATGGTGAACACACAGGGAATAATGGCTCTTGCTTTTGCACTACTTTATTTTGCACACTGAGAATCAGCTTCTTTCCCATGGTGCTCGTTAGAACTGAAAATTCGGTGCGACTGCCACAAGGGGGCATATTAAGACAGTCGTGTCTAAATGTCGTGTGCAGTGGAAAGGTGGCTTTAAAGTACACATGGAATCAAAACTAACCATATTGATTTTAGCACACATTGCTAGTTTTGTGTTGAATGAAAATGTTTTGCCCTTGTAATGTAAAATTGAAATCTAAAAATGCAATTCCTGTTTTTTTTTTAAATCTCAGATTATGTCTGGTTGAGGTATTGTGGCGTCGCTTACATACTTAACAACGCCGCTCCAGGTGTCAGTATTGACTTTTGACAGCCCTATGAAAACCTACAATTGTCATACCTACTGCTTTCAGTCGGATGGCAATAAATGCCATGTGAAATGGCATTCAAACTCACATTGTTAGCATTTAACTCTGAATAAAGCACATGAGGTGTATCTGAGGTGATCATTGTTAGTTTTCTGTTGTTTAGCTGCAAGAAATAGAAGCCGTTTCTAAAATATCAATTCGACGTGTTGCTTAGAACAAAAACTCCTTTTAAAATTCACAATATTCCTTTTATCACGTGCCGCTGCTTTAATTTAGAACATGACTTAAGTCAGACTCGCTCCTCAATCTGGCAACCTGCGCTTGCATTTGTTTTGATCCAGGAATGTAATACCTAGTTCAACCACTGGGTGTCAAACTTACGTACTCCACCTTTAAAAAGTAATTGGTTATAGTTACTAGTTACTTACAAATAGTAGCTGAGTTAGTAACTGAGTTGCTTCATTATAAAAGTAACAAATTACCCGGATGTTTAACAAAGGTTTAAATAATCTATATGTGTGCCCCTGAACCACAAAACCAGTCTTAAGTTGAATAGATATGTTTGTGGAAATAGACAAAAAAATATTTTTTTTGGGTGAAAATTGTCTCATAAAATGTCATTTTATGCCAAAAATCATGAGAATATTAAGATTTTCCATGAAGATATTTTGTAAAAGTCCTACTGTAAATGTATAAAAAACTTTTTTTATTAGTGATATGCATTAAGAACTTAATTTGGACAACTTTAAAGGTGATTTTTAAATGCTCATCATTATGATTTACCAGGGAAAGTAACTTTTGTGTTTTTAAAAGAAAAATGTCAACTACATGTTGAATGAAATGAACACTAAGAGCCCTATCATACACCGGGCGCAATGTGCAAAAGGCGCGACACAATTGTTGTTTGCTAGTTTTAGCTTGGCGCAAGGGTCGATTTGTGCTCATATGTGTGCCCATAGGCACTCTGGTCTAAAAAAGGAGGTGTGTTGAACTTAAATAGACTGTTCAGTAGATAAGATCAAAGCAGGTCTATTGTCAAGCGCTGAGTGCGTTAGTTGTGCGCCTCGCTTACACATTGCTTAATAGACGCAGAACATTATATTGGAAATTAGAACTAAATTTAGAAATAAATTTGAAACAAATCTTTTTCCCTATCCACGAGAGTGAAAGTGAAAGTAAAGAATAAGGAGGCTCATCTCTCATACTCGTGCTGTAGATGCTCTGTTTAACTGATTTCTCTCTAGTGAAGAGTTCAGTTTTTCCGCTTACAAAGTCCGTCATGTAAATGGCAAATGCGCTATGGCACGACGCAACTGACTCGTAAAAGGAATGGGAGACGAGACTCTGATTGATTTATTCTCAGAACACACCAATAACTCATTAAGAGAATAAGCTCAACCCTGTTAGACCATGCGCTACGGCGCAAAGTGGATTTTTCCGTTCTTAAAATAGCAAAAGTAAATTCTGACACGCCCTTAATGTGTTTGCGCCTTGCGCTTTGGACTTTGTGCATGGATCGTCAAAATAGAGCCCTTGATTAAAGAACTGATTATAATCATTCTACATGATTATATTTTAATGATGCTGTGGGACAATCTATCAAATCCATCTCTTTAGTGGAACAATAAAACATAACAGATGATTTAGAACTTTTTCAAATTTACCTCAACTGGCCAACAAATAAGTCTAAAAATAAATGAAGCTTTTGGAAATGTAACAAAAATAGACTTTTAATATTACGGTATTATTTAAAAAAAGTAACATTGACATCTTTCCATGGTTAAAACACAGAATTGGCGATTACATAAGATACTGTACATGTCAACCTGTTTCATGTTTGAATCTTGGTATATTTGTAGTAAATGACTTTTGTGTCCACTGTGGTCACTGCAGAGTCCCTTACTGATGCCATATGGAATTGTCAGTAAAGATAACGATGTTGTAACGGGGCAAACAGTAATTAATTAAATTACTTAGTACATTACGCCAGTAATGGCGTTTATTTATAACACCGTTTTTCCCATAACTGTTTATATGAAGCTCTGTTATGTTTTGTTTATATTTTGTTAATTCACAGTTTTTGTTGTTGAATACTTACAGTAGCACTAACCTACATGACTATCTGTCTCTGTTTATGTATTTATGGTAGGAGTTATTGAAGGAAATTTGAGCAGGCCTGCCGGTCCTGAATCTCCTACGCCACTTGCAAGCACTCCTCTTGGTAAGCTTTGAACATAATATTTTGAATATTATATTAAAGGTCATTTAAAAGCTATTCGTTGGCATGGGATTCTTCAGACCGCCGCAACAGGTGAACACAGAGTGAAGTGTAACATTCTGATCACAAGAAATTTGATTCTTATTTTTAATGAGTCAATCTGAAGTAAAGTGTATCAGTCAGTAAAGTGAATTGTTCAAACTGAATCACTTAATAAAAAAAAGTCATTTTTAGATATATCATGTTTGAAAGGAATCATGTTTGAAAGTTGTATAGAGATATATTATTGGTAAAATTATTTTGATGGTCCATTTAAGTAGTAGACTGTCTGCTTATTATCTGTTGATACTGCTCCTTCAACAGACATATAACAGACTATAAGAAACTTTGCAAGTACACTAACCCTAACCCCAATCTAACAGTCTGCTTATAATCTAATGAGAATTAGTTACAATGTAACTTACATTCGACAAATGGACCATCAAAATAAAGTGTGACCATATTATTTTGTTCACTTAAAGTTTGTTTAAATTAATAAAAATGTTACATATTCATTATGTTATTTTACGTAAAGTATCTAATATTTATATAATGCATAGAAATATGTTGAATAATACAAAAATACTTTTATTTTGTAAAGAAAAATATATGTTTTGTTCTTTAAAATTTTAGCTTTACCAGAATATCCTGGAAACAAAATTATAGTGAAATCATATTAAACATAAGTCATAGTTTTGACAAAAATATTTCAACATAGATAAAATGGTATTAAACAATATTAAAATAATTTAACTATTTGACACCCTTTGTTTTTAATTTTAATCAAATAAAGATTGAAACCTATACTACATATTACTATATTTAGATATACTTATTAGTATATTCATATTGCTATATTTAGAAAACTATTATATACACTACAGGCCAAAGTTTGGGGTCAGTTTTTGTTTTTTCATGTTTTTTTTTCTAAGAAAATTTTCTGTTCATCAAAGTGGCATTCATTAGATGTAAAAAAAAAGTGTTAAATATTTATTAAAATGTATGTAGTTTCAAATGAAATTATTGCCTCAGTCATTGTTGCTTTTATTATTATTAAAGTGATTTCTGAAGGATTAATGTAATGAAGCTAAAAAAGAAGTAAAGAAGTTGAAAATTCATCTTTGAAATCACTGAAATAAATTATTAAATTAAGTGTCAAACTACTTTTGAACAGTTATTTTATAGTGAATAACATTTCACAATTTTACAATTTAAACTGTAATTATGATGAAATAAATGCAGCCTGGGTGAGCAGGGGAAGCTTGTTTTAAAACATTTAAAAATCCTTCTGACCCCAAACCTTTGATACTTTTGATCGTATATGCTATATGAAATGCATATAATTTTAAATCTTTTTCTTAAAATTATTGCTTATTGATAATTAAAAATAAGATTTTTCCGCTAACACACAGACCAAGTCTAGTACACACATTCTGTGTTTATAACACAGAATTTTTTTCTTATTATTTAATATTAATCCGAATAATCTGTCAAAAAATGTCCCTTCATCAAAGCACACAGCAGAGCAACTATTTCTATCAACCAGTTTCTATTATCTAAAAATAATTTGAATTATAATTTGTGTTTTCATATGTAATTTTTGCAGCCAGTAGGATTTTTTTTCTTCATGATTAGTATGGAGTCCTGTTTTATTTAAGTTATTCCATTGTGCATTTATATTAATAAATCAATCAGGTGTTGCTATGCATGTCCATGTTAACTTTCATGTGTGTGTTTGTGTGTGTGTGTGTTTGTGTGTTTGTGTTTAAGCATGTGGTGAGCAATCCCAGCCCTTCCCTGCCCATCAGAAGCGAATTGTAGGCGGCAGACCAGCATCTCCGGGTCTGTTCCCCTGGCAGGTTCTTCTCTCAGTGGAGGATGTGTACCGTGTGCCTGTGGTTCGCTGGTTCGGCAGCGGGGCTCTCCTCTCTCCACTCTGGATCGTCACAGCCGCTCACGTCCTCAGATCTCACCGCCTTGATCTTTCCGTCGTCCCGGTCGATCCTGAACACATCCAAGTGCACTTAGGCCTTACAGATGTCCGCCAAAAACACTTAGCCACAAATCGGTCCGTAGAGAAAATCATCCTCCATCCTCAGTTTGACCCTCAGAATTATAACAACGACATCGCTTTGGTTAAACTTAACCAGGAGGTGGCGCTGTCTGCGTTAGTACGGCCTGTTTGTTTACCAAGACCTGGTTTAGATAGTCAAGTTTTAACCCCTAACACTTTGGGTATTGTAGCCGGTTGGGGCATCAACGCAGCCAATGCTTCAGCCTCTAGCAGTGGTTTAACATCTGATTCCAGTTCAGTTTCTGAGCTTCTCCAATATGTGAAGCTTCCGGTGGTTTCACAGGACGAATGTGAAGCCAGTTATGCGTCGAGATCTGTTAACTATAATATCACTGGTAATATGTTCTGCGCTGGCTTTTACGAGGGAGGTCAGGACACCTGTTTGGGGGACAGCGGAGGGGCGTTTGTCACTCAGGACGGCCGCAGCGGGAGGTGGGTGGCTCATGGGTTGGTGTCCTGGGGCGGGCCAGAGGAGTGTGGCAGTCAGAGGGTGTATGGAGTGTACACACGGGTGGCTAACTATCTGCAGTGGCTGCACACACACATGGATGCGGAGCGCTGGTGGTGAGTGTGTGGTAAAATGGTAGCAGCTTTTTTGGTCATTCCTACACTGTGACAAATAAGAATTAAGAGTTTTCCGTATTTTGTGATTCTTTTCTTTTATTTATGGTTTTGATTTGCATTTTGGGACCTTGATCTTTTCTTCAATGCTTCTTGATTTGGAAAAGTTTGTAAAAGTGTTTTATTGACATTTTTAATAGTTTGGAATTATATATTGACTCTAAAAAGACCTTTGCTGTTTGTGTAAACTACTTATCTAATATGAGCTGAAATAACCCAATTCTTGAAGTTTTTTAGTGACAACTGTTTTATGTTCAATCAACTTAAATTTGTAAAAAAAAACTAATAAGTGAACTTAATTTCTTTATGTTGTCCTAACACCAATTAAGTGGAACCCAGCATTTTTAAAATGCAGTGTTGCCTGCATTAGTGTAGTAAATTATAGTGCAAAATATGTAGTTATATGTTGAAATATAGTGCACAAATATACAGTTGAAGTCTGAATTTTTAGCCCCCCTAAATTATTAGACCCCCTGTTTAATTTTCCCCCCAATTTCTGTTTAAAAAAGAAAAGATTTTATATATATATATATATATATATATATATATATATATATATATATATATATATATATACACACACACACATACATACATACATACATAAATACAGTTAAAGTCAGAATTATTAGCCCCCCCCCCTAATAATTCAACTGTACATATATATTCTTACATACAGTAGGAGAAATAAGTATTGAACACGTGACCATTTTTCTTAGAAAACATATTTTTAAAGGTGCTTAAAATATTCAGCAAATGTTGGCAACAACCAAAGAAATCCATATATGCAGAGAAAACTAATCTAATTAGTTAACAAATAAAGTTATGCGTAATAAAATGAAATGACGCCGGGAAAAAGTATTGAACACATGAAGAAAGGGGGGTGTAGAAAGGCGGTGAAAACCCAGACAGCAACTAAAATCTCTTAGTAGTTTTTCAGCAACTCTCTGCCCTTCGTCAGTGTAAATTAATATTAGCTGCTTCAGTCCAACATCTACATTAGCAGGATGATGAAGATGAAACCAGGTGGACATTTCAGCAAGACAATGATGCAAAACACAGCCAAGGAAACTCTCAAATGCTTTTAGAGCAAGAAAATCAAGCTGTAGAATATATTATTTCTTATACAATATATTGTTTCAAACTACTAATATGTTGATAAAAGTCACTTTTAAACTGCAGTGCTGAATTTTAACATAAAAAATGACATAGCAGAGATCAATGTCCCATAATGCAATTCATAAGTGTAAATAAGTGGAAAAATGTGAATTATAAAATACAGAAACTATAAGTTAACAGATTTCTTTTTACAGTGTGTTATTTTCCACAAAATAACAGTTTTCTGTTTTTTTATTCATGAGGAACACACTCAAGAGTGCAAATTATTTTATTTGGTTCAATCTTGAGTTATGAACCTTTGTAGTTTGTGTATTTAGTAATAGAATATAAATGGTATGAACTCATACCAAACAGTCAAAACTATAACTGCAAGGACAAGCTGCTTTATACTTGTGCTTGGATCTTTAGTCTTTTTACATTTTTATTGAAATGACAGTTGTTGCTGTTGTTTTTAACACACACATGTAATATCCCAAATACATATGATCAGAACTGGTTAGGGTTAAGAGCATACAAATGACACTTTAGTGTAATTCTTTACACAAATTAACACTATCATTTAGCAAGAATGCATTGTAATGATCAAAAGTTACAGTAAAGACAACCATATAACCAGAGATTTATATTTTGAGTAAATCCTGTTCATTTGAACTTTCTTTTAAAAGACTCATTAACCCAAATAAACAAATGAACACAGCAATAATCAAATATACACTTTTATATTTCTATACTTATCAGTACAAGTACTTTGCAACTGATGGATTATTCGCATATAAAATCGAAGCACAACTTTTCAATGTTATACTTTTATAAAATGTGACACTCCTGTGTAAAGCCACATTTTTAAAGAAATGCACTGATTTTATTTTTATATTTGCACACTGATGTATATTTGAAATAAAATAAATCTTTTAGGACATTTTGCTTCATTCACCTGTGACTAGTATTTGACTTTCTGTCAACTCGTTACCCACAAAGACAGTTCTACAAATAAAAGATTGGGAGAAAAATCAGTTGAGAAAAGACAGAAGTATTTTCATTTGTTTTATTGTCGAGGCTGATCCGCCTCCAGTCAGAATGAGAAAATGACAATAGTTGTGTATATTACAGCAAGCGAAAAGTTGTGAGGCACTGGAGTAAATATTGAGTTGTGCAGTGGAAGCTATGAGCAAACACCTCTCTGATTGGCTAATGCTGCTAGCATCACAAACTAAACTCAAACTCATTCGTTAATGGAATCGAGTTGTGCAGGGAAGATCTCAAACCTTGGAGAATAAAAAGCCAATTTCCTACAAAAGCAGTATATTGAATACTTTCCTCTAATGATATTCTTCAGTAACATCCACTTAAAAATGACCTCGGCACAGCCAGAGCATTAGCTTTAGACAAAAAGTGGCTTAAGTTTCCAGACTCTTTTGCTGATGTTTTTTACAGACTTTAGCTGATTCTGTCAAGATTCTTTACATAAGTAAAAGAAGGCTTGTGGTAAACAACTTTGATATTTAACATTTGGTTCTATAAATAAATGATCGCACTATTACTATTCTCACATAGCCTGTCCTGTTTTATTGAATGGAGGAATATTTTCGATATGGGTGTTTCTGTTTCACATTGTAGTGGACCATGTTAAAAGTATTGATGGCTGTGGCCTTTGGAGGCAGCTTTCCAGTGTGGGAAGGCATCAAGCACATGTCCAAATCCAAATTCTGCTTCACTTCCTGTCTCTGGAGGTACCTTCTTCTGATCAAATGATAAAAACAGCATACCTATGTACTTATTTTTGATATCCTACAATCCGGTGAATGACATTTCTGACAGGTGACTTAAAACATTTAAAATGTCATCTCAAAGCACCGCTTGGGTGTCATTTTATAAGTAAATACATGTTTTTGACCAATGTGTTTTACACTTTTTGATTACACCTGTCATTTTTAATGAGAGGTTAGTATTGCAGTAAGCAAATATTGCTTAGTTATCACTAAAGCTCTGTCAATTTGGAAGTACATGCATGACTAAATTCATAGAACAATTCTGTCTGGTTCTTGAATCTGATTGGCTGATAGCCGTGTGATATTCTGCCAGTAGCAGCACTCCTACACCTTTGTGTATTACTCCTCCCACTTGCAGCAACAGGCAGAGGACACTCTACAGTTTGAAAAATATTTCTGCTGTTGGGCAACAGTGGAATTTTTTACTCGAGAATGTAGTTGTTTAGATTGCAACTATGCAGTTTATTTATGAGGATAGTGCCTATTTTAAATATTTTTAATTTCTTAGAGCGCGTCAGGGGCCATTAGATTGCTATTGACCTTATTCCTCAATGCGGAAGTGCGCTCGTTTTTTGTGATTGTTTTAGAACTTCCGATTAAATAATAAACGGCAGAAAACAGTCAAACTACTTGCTCTACAAACAAGTGTTTGCATGCCTATACAGACAAAATAGAAAAATATAATAATTCAATATCAGTTTGCAGCATCAAGCAGCAAAACGATTCGTTTTTAACGTCTAAAAATAAATGGAAGTGAATGAGACCGTAAGTCTCAAGCCAAAAAGATTCAAATCGCTGCACAAAATCACCTGTTTTGTCATCACTTTAGACATTACACTAGAGAATCATTCAAACACTAGCTCTGAAGTGAAGGCTTCTGCTGTTCTGACGTCAGCTGCAGATGTGAATGCGAGGGGGCATGAGAGCGGGGGGGGTATTGTCGCGCGTGTTCTGATCAGATGTCGTGAGGGGCGGGGGTTGTTGTCGCGCACGTACTGAAGAGCGGTGTTGTCGCGCACGTTCTGATTGGCTGTGTTGCCGCGCGCATACTGTAAAGTGGGGATGGGGGGGGGGGGGGTTGAGCGCGCGTACTCAAGAACGTTGTTGTCGCGCGCATACTGAAGGGCGGGACGGAGGGTTTGCAGCGTCGCGGGGGCACTTTTGATCATTTTGGAAGGGCACTTTATATTCAAGCCTAAAAAGGGCATGTGCACTGCACAGGTAGAGCCCTATGTGTGCACGTGCCTGTCGCACTGCTACTCATGTGATATTGCTCATATATATGGTGTCAGAACTCTGTCTGACTGTGTCTGAAATCGCATACTTACATACAGTGGCGTAGAGCAAAATGCAGAGGCCGCCCTGCAGGGATCGCTGACGGGGCCCCCTGATGAAGTGGGGGGAGGGATACGTCATACGTCAATTTGCATATCACTGACGTCATCACGTTCTTCCGTTTCTGTTTGTTTAACAGCCTATGGTTACTACAGGGGTATTTATAATTGCACTACACTTTATATAAGCATGTTTATTTAACTAAATTTATTGCTGTTTGAATACAGTATGTCATTATAGATGTGTAGTGAATGTGCAGTAATCTCTCATATGTAATAAACTCAGACAAGTTCAGAAACTGTCACTAAAATATCTGTGATTGTGAACAAAAAAAGAATAAACGGTCCAATTAAATTGTTAAAATAAAGGAGAAGCAGATCGGTTAGACTGTACAAGGGAAATACCTTCACACTGCCAGTGCTAAATCATTTGTCGTCGGTACGCAGAGGGGTGATCTGCTCTCGGGCTGCAGATGGGAGAGGCTGCTGTAGAGGACTGACTGGGCCGCCTGTCAGTTCTGTGAGGCGGGGGAGGGGCCGGCGGCATCACACGCAACTCGTTGAGAAGAGTAGGGACGGTACAGTTATGGACAAATGACAGTCTAAAAAAAATCTCCAATAACACACAAAGTCGCTAGATTTGTCGCTAAGGGGGTCTGAAAAGTCGCTAAATCTAGTGAAAAAATCGCTAAGTTGGCAACATTGGCGGCAAGCAACCAGAATGAAGTAGTCCACCGCTTGAGAGGTGTTCAGAGAACACAGACCTGTGAACTTTGGTTCCGACCACAGTTGTTCCCAAGAGTTTGATTATTGCGGTTGCCGGATTTTCAATTATTGAAAATCGTGACGACGCGGGGCCCCCTAATCACACGGGGCCCCCCCGCGGTGCTTGCCCTGCGGGCCCGTCCGCTACGCCACTGCTTACATCACATTATGGTACTATATAAAAAAACAGCATGCGGGTCGAGTAGTATGTCCGAATTCATAGAATTCGAAAAACAGTATGCGAAAAGTAGCCAAATGACTTCCAGTGAGATTCTAAAGTGCGCATCTGATGGACGCTACGCTATCCTATGATGCCCCGCAAAAAAATTCATGAATGGGAGAGAAAAGATGTAACTGTCACAGGTAGGTCACGTGATGATGACAAAATGGCGGATGTAGTTATGTCCGAGTTCTATCCATACTACTCACATTCATATTGTATAGAATGTACTTTTCTAATGGTCGAATAGTAAATTTTAATTCAAATGCAGTACATACTGATTAGTAGGCCTAGGCGATTTTGGACGCAGCCTCTGAAATCAGTTTTGATAAAGAAACGTACCTCCAGAGTGACTGATAGTGCAGCAAGGCAACAAGTCAGCTGCCTAACTTTTTGGACACAGCCCATATTTCATAATACCTTTATTTTATTCATGAACCAAAAAAAAAAAAAAAAAAACTCAATTGTAAAACCTTAGCATATATGCTAATCTTTGGGAAACTAATATGATCTTCCAGGTTTTGCTCCCTGCACTACTCTAAAAACAGTTTATATGTTGAAATAAAATGATAATGGATCCAAACTGATAGTAATCAGATATTAATTCTGCATTTAAAGAGAAAGAACAGCTCTGGAGCAGCGATGATTAAACGTGTGTTGAGGACGCTGAGATCGTTCAGTGGTTAGTGAGTTGTGTTGGCTGGTGTGCTTATCATGCATATCATCTACCTGCAATATTCCCCTCTGTGGAACAAATGACAAACAAAACACTGTTCTGATTATAATTTGCAGCATAATATACTCATTTTCACTCAATATACATACATTTTCTATATTTGTTTATGATACATGAATCTCAGAGAGTATACACTTAATCTTACGTATTTGCCGGGGGCGTGGTCATGGGGGGAGCTTATCCTCGGCTGCTGGGAAGGCGGCCTACACCAATCCGGTCAATCGGCACGCTGACTCGCCGCCGCGGCAGTTCAACAGCCTTTCTACAGGTGAAGAAATCAATATATTTACTTTGAAAATTGTCTCTCACTCACATTGATGGATTTTCGTTATATTCCCATTTTCTTGAAACATTGAGGAGGGAAAGACTTTTAAAATGAAATGGCTTTATGTAGGGCTATGTTCAAAATGAAATGCTAACGTACAGCTCGTTACATTTCGGTGGTAACGTTACGTTAGGCAATACTTAATGTACTCTACATATGTTATATTTATCAGAATTACCGAAATTATATTTGCTTAAATTAGAAGAATGTATTTTAAACAGGCTTAACGTTACGAGTTCACCCCACCATTTAACGTGAATATGGGAAAGTTCCGGTGTCAACTTATATTATTTATTTTTCCATATCCAAAATCACACCGTTCTCTACTATTTAAAAGACCAAAACTGTTTTGTGACTAAAGATGTCTGTTTGATGAAGGATGTCTGAATCCACATATTCATTTGCTGCATTGACAAGATACATGTTTGTTGACATAACATGTTTACATCCTGATCATCTTTACCAACGTTCACTATTTAAAGGGATAGTTCACCCTAATATGAAATTTTTGCCGACCTACTCAATTGTCGATTTAAGGTAAAGTTGGTTTTATATTCACACATTCGTTCAGTGACAGCTCCATACATTGATTACCATGGTACTTTGGATATTCGGACTGAAATCACATGTAAGTATGACTTCAAAACAACATCACCAATAACGTTATTTAATTGACTGTGAATTGTGAACAATGCTGTACTTTGATGGTTGTTGGCTGCTAATATGATTTTACTATTTAGAATTTCCAATTAATACTTTTCTGCGATTACATTATTATTGAGAAAGACTGAATGTGCGAATATCAAACCAGCTTTACCTCAATAATTGTCAAAACCTATTTGAGTTTCCTCCTACTGAACACAAAAGAAGATGTTATGAATAATGCTGGTTGGTGGTCTAGCCGTTGACTTAGCCCTACATAGTATTTTTTCCTACTATGGAAGTCAATTCAACTTTTAAAAATCTCCTTAAAATAAAGTAGATTATATCTGCATTGCAATGTAAGGTGGATATTATAGTGCACTATAAAATAATAAAGCAAAGCACTCAGACTGCAACCAAGCTAATATGTTGACAGAAAATATGAACACAATAGAAGTTTCAAAACTTTTTCAGCAATGCCAACATTGAGGGAATCTTCTATTTGATCATTCTTGTAAACATGTATGGGTTTGGGAAATATGCTACTTTAGAATATTGTCTGGATGACTGTAACAGTTTTTTAAAGCATGAAACCTCAAGTAAACCTCCCCTTTCCAGTGTGATAAATGAACTAGATTTGCTGGCATGATTTCTAATCATTATGCCATTGGACTTGTGATTTTTTTTCACAAATGTATGACAATACATAGAAGACCAATAAATGTGGACAGAAGCTATCAGTCTGTGGTAAGATACAGTGGGAATAGTACTTAAAATCATGCTCGAGTAAAAGTACCATTACTTGGCAAAAACTGTTAGTAAAATTTCTGTTCTAAACAAAACTACTCATGAGTAGTGAGTATTATAAATATAATTCCACTTTATTGACCTTGTTCTTTGCATAAGAGCGGGTACAGCCATTGGGATTTTCCTGTCTTGTTCTCTTCTATTCATTTTTAGACATTAAAAACAGCTTGTTATGCTGCTTAATGTTGCAAACTGATATTTTCTTTTTTTTTTTTTTTGAACACAAAAAAACCTGCCATAGACAATCAGCATATTGCAATGTGCATAGATGTAATAACCAATATACGGGTTGTTAAATAATAGTATTATTAATAGTGCCAGCAACAACAATAGTGACAATACAAAGGAAAAAGAAGAGTAGAGGAGTAAATGACAAAGACATAATAAAACAAATAAAAATTAAAAAAATTATATATACATACACACACAAATACATAAACAAATTTCTGAACCAAAAAAGGCATTTTACAAAATCTGTAAGTAAGGGTAAAATTAAGCCAGTTAAAATCAAGTAAATAAAAGAATGGTACTAGAAAAATAGAAATAGGTATTCAAAACCATGCTGAAAGAGGTCTACGACAATGAAGAAAAATTATTAGAGGCCCAAACAGGGAACCCTAAATTACTATAAAGAATAACATAACTTATAAAAATTAATAGATGAAAAAAAAAAAAAAAAAAAAAATATATATATATATATATATATATATATATATATATATATATATATATATATATATATATATATATATATTTATATTTATTTATTTAAAAAATGATGAGGCCTGAAACCATAAGTTTCTGCTTTTTGATGTCTCCTTGATTCAAATTAGTAAACCTTTAAGTTTGTCTAAGTTTTGTGCCCAAAGTCTGATGGTGTCCTTTCTTGCACCATGGATGCGAGCAGTGGACATTTCGAGATACACAATATCAATAAAGGTAAGAATCCAATGAGGATTATTAGGAGAATGTGGAGGCTTCCATATTGTCGCAACTACTGTCTTGGCTGCAAACTGATATTTTCCTATTATATTATCCTGCTATGTCTGTATAGTCATGCACACACTTGTTTGTGGAGCAAGTTAGTTTATTATACCTAGTCATTTCTCCTATAGGCAACTGAACCGTAAAAAAGAGCGCACTTCCGCATTGAAGAATAAGGTCTATACCCTGCGCTTTAAAAGCGTAGCTTACATCAGCGCCATTTTATTGTAAGGGTGTTTATAAGTGTAAGTTAAATTATTTGCCATTCATAAACTACAGATTTTAAATGTGAAATTAATTTAATATGAGAAGTTGAGAACACAATCATACCTGCCAACACTCCTGTTTTTCCCGGGAGTCTCCCGTTTTTCAGACCTTTCTCCCATATTGTTCTGTCTCCTGGAATTCAGATTTTTTTTTGCCAAATGTTGGCAGGTATAAACACAATGCATTAATATGTTCACCTATAAGCCAACTGAAAGCAGGTTGATGTGTTTAAATGCGGAGCGAATTCCAACCTAAGGGGCAAAACTCTAACTGTCACTGTTTGTTAATGCTTATGTTATGCATTTTGAACCCTAAATCCCAAGCTACGAGTGTCCAGCTGTGCCAAAAACCAAGCTCATGGGACACTGATTATAGAATTCCTGCATTTTGTGCATGTGTTTGAAAACGTAACATTCTGTAGTGTATTTACTTATAGTTTAAGGCCATTTGGAGATCAGTCATCACCCTAGGCATCCTTCATCTTCTCATCCATAACATGCAGTCGGACGGTAATCATGTTCTATTTAGCCAATCATTGTAGAAAAAATAAATATATGAAATAGTGATGGGTGGTTGAAGTTACATTACATACTTGGTGATTAAAAACTACTCAATTACAGTAATTTGAGCATTTATAATTCATTACTACCCAATACTATTAGTTGTTAGCCTAACTTTAATTTACTGTGAGTAGTCATAGAACAATCACATCATTATGGAGAGGTTTCGTGAGCTTTCATGTGTTTATCAGACTCGTGACAGATGGATTCTGGTGCCAAGATTTGATAATGCATGGCGTGGTGCTTTCGCTGCTGTTCTTGGCTTCTGTCCTGATCTTATCAAGTGCTAAGGATCATTTAGATAGGGCTTTGTCCGAGCCTCAGGCCATGCTGAGTTACGCCGCATGCTCCGTTCAGCAGGGAGATCAAATCATTCACAGAGATAAAACACGTTTTGATCATTGACTGGAAGTCTGACGCTACAGTCATCAGCACAGTTGGACTGTCCATTCCCGTAAATTAGTATCGAAGACTTATTATGTCATACTAAACCCCAATTCGCACAACGACGACTCCACCCAAGAAATAGAAGTAACTTTAACTGTGAGCTACAGACAAAACATTAATTGCACATAGTGAACTGTAAAAACACAAACACGCTCACATAAAACTGTCAAGCTGTGCATAATAGAGAATACAGCCAATACAAACTGTATATGTTTGAGCCACGGCCAATGAAAGCTACTTATGGTACATCATCTGTTCGGGATCATAGCAAATGAAAATCATGCTTTTCAGGTTTTCAAAACAGGTCTTTAAAACATGGATTTCACTAAAACGTACATTGCTATGATAATATTCTGTAGGTATCAATACTGTTGAAGTCAGAATTATTAGCGCCGCTGTGTATATTTTCCCCTAATTTCTGGTAAACAGAAAGAAGATTGTTCACATTTTTGAACATAATAGTTTTAATAACTAATTTCTAACAACTAGTGGTGTAACAGATCACAAAACATATGGTTCGGATCATATGGTCTTTTTAGTCATAGATCATACCATGCCGATCAGCCAAAAAGAGGAGATGACAAATGTAATTTGATTTCCATTTATTACAAAAAACAATAGCAAGAAACTTTTAACAAAAAAGTTTTTTAACAAACAGAACTTAGAAGCTGTAATTGTATTAAAAATAAAATAAAATTAAGAAATAAACAGCTGAATAAAAATAAAAAGTAAAATATTCAGTACTGTGAAAAATTCACTGTTCTACTACTGTTGCTGATAACGCTAAATGTTGAAATCATTTAATGTAGAAAACATATTTATTTTTTGTCTCATTTTCATTAAATGTTTCAGTTATTCACTTCCCTTCATTGCTAGATGTGTCACTGTTGAAGAATTATTCAGTGGCATATTTTTAATGGCTGGTTGTCGCCACTTATTGATTAAATAATACAAATGCTGCCTACAACTTTCATTTTTGAGCGTGAAGTTAAATGCATATGGCGGCAATTTTAATCTTTAGCATAAACATCAGTGGTTTTATCTAAATTAAGCTGTTATCCCAGTACTACTTTGTTATTTGACTGTTTGTAACTTCAGAACTAATTCAAAAGACTAAAGACTGAATGTCTTTCTTGATTTTTGTGTTTTTCAAACACCGATTTGAATTCAGCGACTCAGTTAGAATTATTAAACATGCAAATCACCATCATTTATAATTTATGTGTTGTAGGTGTTGAGATCCCGATCTTTTAGTGATTAATCGTGCTGTTTACGCTGAATGCATTAATGCAAACTAAACAAGTAGTGACAGAAAACACCTTTAATAACCTAAGAAACCCACTACATCTCGAATAAGCCACCACAACTTCTTCTGTCATCATTATATTTTACAGGAAAGCCTAAATGCTTTCATACATGGGATTTAAATGAAGCGAAAGGCGATCTCTCTGCGATCGTTACAAATTTAGGATTAATCTACAAGTACAAAAAAATGTATTGACATAATCTGTGGGTCCATGTGTTCCGAACTAAGGGTTGTGATCCGTATGAATCACAGATCAACCAATAAAGTACCAAATCCTAAATGTAAAAATCGAATGCATTGAATGTAATATCTCCATTGTAAAATATGTGCTATAGGAATAAAGATGACTTGAATTGATTTTTCAAAATATTTTCATTAAGGATGCCATGATTCTCAATATAATATTGAACCGTTCGGTACGACATCCACGGTTCAATACACGCTTATGATTTGCAGTTTTCTCGTTTTTGCGTTTAAATAATTTGTGTGCGTTTTATATCTCCTTTAATTTATTGTGTGCCTGTAAGTCTATGAGCTGAGATGAGGAAATTCCTCCCCGCATGTAAATATAAAATCACTATGCTCTAAAGTTAGGAACGCTTAACCATCATTCCACACTTTAACATGGCAAGCGACGGTGAAGCGAGGCTGAGGCAACAGTACAAGGAAGTGCGAAGTGAGGCAACAGTATGAGGAAGCGCCAGCGTCTTTCAAATCTGCAGTGTAAGGACATTTCGGTTTTGTCGGCAAGTATAATGCCAATAAATGAAAAAACAGTGAACAAAAAATAACTGTGCAAGCATTGTTTTACACGTACAAACATGACTGCACATCTGCAGCGCCATCACCCAGCAATATCACTGTCTGAAGGCAGAATAGCAGAGAAGGTAATATAATCCTCCAAATAGCAACAATCCCTCGCTGAATCTTTTAAGCAAACATACCCAACTGGTTCCGAGAGACACATAAAAATAACAAAGGCAGTGTGGGTGTTTATTGCTAAAGATTTGCAGCCGTTTTCGGTGATTGGAGATGTGGGCTTTTGTCATCTTATAAAAGCACTCGATTCACGTTACAGACTAAAGTCTCACACTTTTTTCAGCACAGAGATAATTAGGATGGTTTATTTATGTTTACTTAAGTAGAAATATGTTTATTTGAAATGCCCAATTTATCTTTATTAACTTCACATGTAGGTTTATTTTCAAAATGTAGGAATTTTTGTGTTCCCCAGTTTGTGCATGGGCTAACAGCAGCTGAGATTTCAGTGTTAATTGTTTTTATACAATACATTAGGAACTAGTGTACTTGTCTTGGCTTTTAAGTAAAACAAAATGAGTATTGCAATAAATCGTTTTTATTTTTTTTCTCCTTAACCTCTTACTGTTCCTATTGCTTATAGAATTAAAAACAACATGTAACAAGCCATGAGAACTGAACCAAATTGAAAACCGCGTATAAAACCGAGGTATGTATTAAATCGTGGGCTAACTGTATTGTTGCATCCCTAATTTTCATTATTATCAAGCGATCATTAATGAAATAATAATATAATTAAATATATATATTTGTCATATAATTCCAAATTAGAAGAACAGCATTTCTTTATTTCACTACCTCTGCTTGTTGCTTTTAGGGTCCATGGTGCTGATTGACAGACGGTCCAGTGGCGTGTTGGATCCAGGGAAGCTTCGTTTCCTTTTGGTCTCAATGACATCGTTCTCCAGCCGAACCAACTGGTCGTGCAGGAGGAGTTTAGCACTCAGTGCTCCTGAGGTTTTCTGCTCCATTTGGCCTCGCTGGACACTGCGGCCCTCCACGACAGAAGATTCCACATACTAGATCAGTAAGACATGGAAATAATTGGTTTTATTTAATGTGGTTCTGTTGCTCTAAAAATCAGTATTCAAATTAGTCAAAAACCCACAAAGTTTTTATTCTCTCTGACGAACATTTAATACAATTTTAAGGTGGCACTGTAAGCTGGTTAACATTGTTTCTTGCCGGTCTAATAGTCAAAAGTAGATTCAAGCTTAATGGTTTCAGCTGGTAGACATAGTTTAGGCTGAAATAGCTTATTACTCGAGTAGGTACCACAAAATGAATTTACTTCTCAACCGTTAAAAAGTAAGTTCTATAAACTCAAAAATCACTTTTGCTTCTTGTTCAAACTACTTATTTAAAATTTAAAAAAAAAGAGTTAAAATTACACAATTATTAGTTTTGTTGGGGAGACAAATTGTTTTATGTTTAATCCACTTAAATTTGTAAAAATGATTAAGCTAACATTTAAGTTAATGAAGAAACTGTGGAACCCAACATTTTATTTACAGTGTATAGTATGAATTAGTATAGTATGAATGGAATTTGGACGTACTACATCTGCCATGTTGTCATTATCACATGACCTACTCGTTTAAGCTGCATCACTTCACACCCCTTCATAGATGCTCTCGCATGGCTTTAGTGTAAAAAGGAATAGTAAACTGTAGACTGGATGCACACTTCAAAATCTCTTGAGAATTAGTACGTCAACTGGGTACTTCTCGCCTACTGTTTTTTAATACTATGGATTTGGACCTACTACTTGGCTCCCATACTGTTTTTTCGTACTATATGGTAGAAAAGATTTTGATTTCAAATGCAGCCTGAGACTTTAGTCATGCTTGTAAAACATTTAGGTAATCTAAAAGTGTACTCGAATTAGGCTATCCAAACTGTGCCCAGGCACCTTTTACCCCCATTTCCCAGTTTGTTTGACAAGTGTGACTGAATTTGTGCGATTCAGTTGGCCAGCCCTGGCCCGGTTGGAAGAAGTGTGCCAGAGCGAGGTTCGGTTGGGCTTTACTGCGGAACGCTTGTAGTGTGAGCGCCTGAGTGTGTAACTTAAGACCCAAAGTCACTTTTAAGTGACTATTATGGATTTATTAATCCTTCTTATTTTTTAATGAATAGGAACTGTCATAGTTTATTAAAGATACAAACCCCCTGCTGCACGCCAGCTGTCACCTTCATCAAACCTCCTAATACGTGCAGCACGATGATTGTCATGAACATTTATGAGCGTCAGAAGTGGTGGATCTGTTCAGCAAAAGATTTAACTGTGTGTTACTGCATATCCAATGGCTTAAAATAATACAAAACGATAGAACTAAAGCAATCTCCATTGTATGGATCGAGTGCGCTTCTTTTCCTGTTAAACTGAACAGTGGTATCATCGATGACGTGCTCTGGCTCGGAAAGTAAAATGCGAGTGCAGGCCGAGGGTGAGAGGGGAGGGGGATAATCGTGTGTGGACATGGTTCAAGACAACCATGCCAAGAGTAAGTACACCCCATAAATAAAAAATAAAGCCCTAATGTTATGTAGTTTAGTTATTTTACTTGTCCTCAAAACCTTTTCACTTGCTCCATAACAAAAAGTATTATAAATATAGTAGGTAAGAGTTCAAAGTGACCATTACCGCCGGAGCTTATACCGCCGCCGTTTTAAATTGCTGCCGCTCTGTTTTTAGTGTATGAGCGCAGTACCCTGTAATTATTGTTTCATTTGATTTTGTCTTTTGAATGCTTAATAAATAGGTTTATTATTACTCAAAAATTGCTACCATTGAACTTTCCCAACTGCAATAATCATTACCGCAAAAAACATCTTCTTCAGCTACTAGACTGTCTAACAGAAATTTTATAGCAGCAGAGGTTTTTAGGCTGCTGCCACTTTAAGACTTAATACACAGATCCAACATACTGATACACATTTTTTTTCTCAACTGTTTGCATCCACTAAAAACATACCCGACTGTGCTTATGAGGATGCTTGTATAATGCAGAGTTCAGACTGCATGATTTTCAAAGTAATCGTGTCACAGATGTTTTCACACTGCATGACTATCTGATTTAGCGTTTTGTCGCTGCTTTGTTTACACTCCAAGATGGATCGGCGACAGGGGCTTTCACATTGCATGACTTTACTATAGGAAGAATCGCCGACAAGTTCATCCAAACTATGTCTCACAGCCAAAAACACGTTGTATATCTTTTGTTATTAACTGCATAATGAGAAAGAAGCCTTTAATGGGGTAGAAAATATAAATATTTGCTCACCTGGGTTTAAAGGGAATTAGCCATTTCTCCTCAATGTTGATAATAAAGTAATTTATTTCTGTATGAAACGTCAAACAGACACAGTTGCTCCTGAGTCTGTCAAACCTCCACTAGTTTTTCCTCCATTTCTTGGGTCCAAATAAACCGAAAATAAGCGCTTTTAACTTCTCCCCCAGCCTCCCACTGGCCTGCAGCAGGTATACACTTGCACACACAAGTGAATGCTGCTCTCTCATTGGCTGTAGGCGATCGCCGATGTTATTTTCAGTCAAAACTTAATTCACACGGCATGATTTGAATAGCTGACAGCTCCAGATATTAAGCATGCCAAATATCTCACAGGAATCAGCAACTCATCAACGATTCTCTCAGATCGCGTCTTTAATAGTTCATACTGTGTGATTGTCACTCAGGTGCACGAGCAGCGATTTGCCTGTGATTTCAGGCATTTGTCTGCAATTTCTCAAAACCTGTCGGCGAGCCAAAATCTGGGCTAAAATCACACAGTCTGAACTAGGCATAAGACTAGTATTTGAAATTAATACACACAATGTTAAATTTGCTAATGTCAATTTTTTTTATGTCAATTCAAGTGCAAGTCGAATAATAAAACTAGAAGTTTTTGACTCTTCTAAAGCATAAAACAGAAACTGTTGTAGATTATTAAAGACGTAAACCCCTCACTGCACGACAGCTGCACCTTCAGCAAACCTCCTAATTCCTGCAGCACGAGGACTTAATGATTGTTTATGAGCGTCAAAAGTGGTTGATCAGTTCGACGAAAAATTTTGTGTCACTGCATCCCAAAAGACTAAAACAATGTTACTAAAGAAATCTCCACTGTGCTGAGCAAGAGCGCTTCTTATTGAACAGCGTATCATCGATGAAGTCAGCGTGCTCAGGGCTGAATGTAATGTGAGTGCAGGACATTGGGGAAGACGGGAGGGGGGACAAGCGTGCTTCGGCTTCGGTTCATGGCAACTGTACATAGTGTGAGTTCGGCCTGAAAAACGATGATGAAGTCTTAAAAATGACTGTTACGTGCTGGAACGGCTGTCTTTGTATTGTTTTTTTTTAACCAACCCAATGTCAGTTTAGCCAATTATATTTTAACACAGCCTTGTTGGAAAATTAATTAATTAATTAACTCATTCAGAAAAGACTCTCAAAGCATGCATCCGTGACTGAAATGGGATCTCCGGTGGACAGTAGCAGACTCCGAAATTAGACGCAGATTCAGAGTTCCACATGAGGTGGTTATTATTATGAGAAAAAGTATAACCGTAAACATTAGATGAGCAGATTACATTGTAACCCCGTGCTACATGATGAGATTTGCGTTGATAAGCATTTTGACTGTTTGCACCAGACGAAACACGAAAATGAAACACAAAATTTAAATACAGCCATTTAGAAGGACAGAATATCCACTCAATAAAGAAATGGTAAGCTTTATAATCTGATTAATACACATTAAGCCTCTTTAACATTATTAAATGTATATGCTGAATCACTGATATGTTCTGGTTTTGAGTCACAGTTATAAAGTTCCACTATTTTCAAGGTCTGAGGTGAACTATCTGCTGCTGGTTTCAGTAGTATGGCGATAAATGTAATGTAAAATGGCATTCAAACTTGCATTATTAGCATTTAACACTGAATAAAGCACACGAGGTGTACCTGAAGTGATCATTGTCAGTTTTCAGTTGTTCTTACAGCTGCAAGAAATAGAAGCCGTATCTAATATATCAATTTGAGGTATTAGTTAGGACAAAAACTCCTTTTAATATAGAAAATATTCCTTCTATCAACATTGCTTTTATTTAGAACGCGATATAAATCAGCCTTTTGGCTCAATCATCAGACTCAATCGCTCATATTGGTCACCAATCTGGCAACCTACTCTTGCGTTTGTTTTGATCCAGGAATGCAATACCTAGTTCAACCACTAGGCATCAAACTTACATACTGCACCTTTAAAGTGTCGATAAATTCTTATCAGTGTCATTGAGCAGTCCTTATTATGGTATGGAAGGTCACTCTTACTCACTTTGCTTTGGCATATTTCCTTTTTTTATTAGGGGTCAACATTGCTGAATGAACCGGCAATTACTCTGGCACATATTTTACCAACAGGAAGGCAGAGACTTCACTCAATATGGAAGGCCATCGAGGACAAAAACCATAAAATTAGTTTGTCACCATGCATGCTAAGTTTGATCATGCCATTGCATCATATACAGCAATTTCATTGGCTGTTTTGCTTGTTGACACATTGATGCGCTCAAACTCTGTGTTGACATTATCAAATTTCACTTGAAGACTTTTGACCCCGATAGCATTCCATATTACTGAGCACTGAACTTTACCACCTTTGAAGCCAACTGTAGACCATTTCAGATGCAAAACTGAATTTGTTTCCTTCAATTACATATGGATAATGACAAGACAGGCAGACAGGGTGATCCAGCGGGTCAGTTCTCAGACGGGCTAACAGGTAGCTCATATTCATAACAGTATACTAACCTCCTGCAGAGGCTCTCTAGGGGAAACCCCACCGTATTTATAGAGCAGTGGGACTGATGACAGTTTATCATCTGTCACTTCGTTCAGTTAATCCAAAAACATACGTGAAATGTGTTTGTGATTTTAAAGACAGGCCGAGTGTAAATGAACACATAATCTAACCTTATTCTCTCTCTCATACAGTACATATTTATATCAGAGCGAGACCTGAACTTACCTCTGGTCTTCCTTGCGGTATGTGAAGGCTTTCGGCACTGCAGTGGAACAAGGTCAGTGTCAGCAGACAAGAGAGCAGCACACATCCACAGCCCAGCATCTGCATTACATTAACAAAGCCATTTTGACAATCAGTATATATATATATATATATATATATATATATATATATATATATATATATATATATATATATATATATATATATATATATATATATATATATAAATACATACAGTACATGTATTTGTATGTATGTGTGTCTTGTTGCCTATCCAATTAGAAACCTATTAGAAACAGCAAATAATAACTTGACCTCTAGTTGATCATTTGGTATCAGAAGTGGCTTATATGAAAGGCAAAGCCCTCTAGATTTGACTTATTTTACCGAAATAAAATATGATTACGCCTTAATTTTTAATTATTTAATTAAGACAGTAAGGTTGACTTTGCTTAGACAAAAGTCTTGTCACTTAACAGAAATAATGTACAGTGTAGAATTTTGTATGACTCCCATGAGCTTGGAGGACTGCATCCATACATCTCTGCAATGACTCAAGTAGTTTAATAATAAAGTAATCTTGAATGGCAAAGAAAGCGTTCTTGCTAGAGTTCATCAAGATTCTTTGGATTCATCTTTAATGCCTCCTCTTTCTTACCCTAGACATGCTCAATAATGTTCATGTGTGGTGACTGGGCTAGCCTATTCTGGAGCACCTCAACCTTCTTTGCTTTCAGGAACTTTGATGTGAAGGCTGAAGTATGAGAAGGAGCGCTATCCTGCTGAAGAATTTGTCCTGTGGTTTGTAATGTAATGGGCAGCTCAAATGTCTTGATACCTCAGGCTGTTGATGTTGCCATCCACTCTGCAGAGCTCTTGCAAACCCCCATACTGGATGTTACCCCAAACCATGATTTTTCGTTTGCCAAACTTGACTGATCTCTGTGAGAATTTTTTGTCCACGTGGGTTCCAATAGGTGTTCTGCAGTGTTTGTGATGATTGGAATGCAGTTCAACAGATGATTCATCAGAAAAATCGACCTTCTGCCACTTTTCCAAATGATCAACTACAAGTCATGTTATTAGTTTTTATTCTTTATTATCTGACTTTTGTCAGATAAAATAGTCCAAATACCAAGTCAGAGACAACTAAAGTTTTCAGAAGTTGTATTCAAAAGTAATAAGTCAAAATGAAGCGAGTTTTTCATTTTTTTTTTTAACAATTTTATAGTTCAATTTAAATAAGAATATTTTACATACCCCAAATGACAAATTATTTATGTCGTTTTGTGGGAAAACTCACTTAAGTTTCACTTATTATTTTTAAAACAAAATAGTTTATACCTTGTCTAGAAAATGCTTTTTGATAAATAATTCTTACATGAAAATGTGGCTCTATTGATGTTTTGGTTCTATTGATTATATTTGATATAGTCGTTCTGCTTTTTATTGCTGTGGAAACCACGGTTGTTGTAGTTAAAAAAACAAACTAATAGCATAAAAACACTTTTGTTACATAAAGCAAAAATTAAATAAAAGAAATACAGTTTATATCAGCTTTAACACATTGTAATCTCTAGTAGTTTGTAAAGCACCATTATTTAAAAATATTTGCAAAAACCAAAATTAAGGTTAACTAAACTTTAATAAACTACATTGTCACATTAAAGACACAATACAAAAACACACAACAACATTACTGAAAAATCAAAATGATTGAATAATATTTAAATTATATGAAATAATCCTAAAAATAAAAATATAATACAAGATTTTTATAACTAAAAATAGTATTTAGGGTTCTTTAGTAAAAATTATTGAAAATAAATGTAAAATTTAAACACATTTACTGTCCCTACTGAACAACTGAATTCATTCATTTTCTTTTCGGCTTAGTCGCTTTATTAATCAGGGGTCACCACAGTGGAATGAACCACCAACTTATCCAGCATATGCTTTACATTAGAAAAAACATATGCGGATATGCGGATGCCCTTTTAGCTGCAACCCAGTACTGGGAAACCCCCATACACACTCATTCGCACACATACACTACTCCCAATTAAGCTTATTTAATTCATCTATTCCGCATGTCTTTGGACTGTGGGGAAACCGGAGCACTCAGAGTGAACAAGGAAAGAACATGCAAACTCCACACAGAAATGCCAACTGACCCAGCCAGGACTCGAACCAGCGACCTTCTTGATTTGAAGCCACAATGCTAACCACTGAGCCACCATGCCGCCAGCAACTGAAATTATACTTTCAAATCTTGGATGGACCTCAAATATCGAACAGACCCAAAAAACCTTTAAACGTAATGCATGTCAAAATCCCAAATATATCGATAATTATAGTGATTGCAGTCTTCACGTCTCTGTGTTCAGTGCATTGTCAATTGAACATGCACACACACACTCCAGCTTCAGCACCGTGTTGAATTACTGTGATACAGGGCGGTGTTTACATTCATCCAGACTCCATCTGTGAAAATACACTCTGACTGGGCGGTCCGGCAGCCGCGAGAGTGTGAGAATGCTTCTAACACACACCCTCTACACAAACACATGAACTCAGCCCAAACACACACTCTGACCTGCACCCCTACCTGTGTGTCCCCAAAACACTCTTAAGCACACTTGCACAAAAAAACATCCTCATGGCGGGACTGTGCGCTAGTGTTGACTCTCAAAGCTTGAGTGAATGTGCTGGTCGGTTTATTTAGGTAAATACTGTATTTAAGAGAAGGCTACAGTATTGTTTTAGGTCTTTATTTTTCACAATCAGCTTTGTGATGTTGCAGTAAAATCTACATTTTGACTGCCGTCTGCTGGCAGTTGTGTTGAATTGCAGTGCACCAGGAACTACTGTAAATGGAATTTCAATAGACCTAAACTAGAAAATGCACTTAAACTAGTGCTACTTTACTTTAAATATTATTTAGATACACACACATACAGTTGAAGTCAAAATTGTTCGCCCACTTGAGTTATTACCCCCCCTTTATATTTTTCTCTCAATTTCTGTTTAACACATTTCTAAAGAAAACAGTTTTATTCATTCATTTTCTTTTCGGCTTAGTACCATTATTAGTCTGGGGTCGCCATAGCTGAATAAACCACCAACTTTTCAAGCATATGTTCTACGCAGCCCTTCTAGCTGCAACCCATCACTGGGAAACATCCATACACACTCATTCACACACATACACTACAGACATTTTAGCCTACCCAATTCACTTACACCACATGTCTTTGAACTTGTGGGGGACACTTGAACACCCGGAGGAAAACCCACGCGAACATGGGGAGAACATGCAAACTCCACACAGAAATGCCAACTGACCCAGCCGGAGCTTAAACCAGAGACCTTCTTGCTGTGCTACCCACTACAAGATGACAGTTTTAATAACTAATTTCTAATAACTTCCTTTGTCTATCTTTGCCATGATGACAGTACATAATGTTTTACTAGATAATGTTCAAGATGACATTTAAAAATCACAATAATCAATATATCGACCTCAAAAATTTTTGCAGATGCAATTTAAAAAGTCACAACTAACGTTAAAGCCGTTTTACAATGACATTTAAATTCTACCTCATCATTATTCTACAATCGACCTCATCATCAAAGTTTACAGTTGGCTATTTACCTAATAGTACAATTGATAGTACATATAATCGAATGTTTACCTTTTAAACATTAAGTTATAGAATATAAATAACCTTAAGATTGATAAATATTGTAAAGTGATTATGGGTGTTTGCATTATTATGCTGTTATATAATCACTATATAAAAAATGACAAAATAATCTCAAAAATGACAATAATATTGCTTATCGCAACAATTTCTGTGACAATATATTGTACAATAAAAATTCCTATCGTGACAGGCCTACTAAAAGGCTTAACTAGGGTAATTAGGCAAGTTAGGGTAAATAGGTAGTCATTGTATCTTGATGGTTTGTTCTGTAGAAAAAACAAAAAATAGAGCTAATAATATTGACTTTATATGGTTTAAAAAAAGTAAAAACTGCATTTATTCTAGCCAAAATAAAACAAATAAGACTTTCTCCAGAAAAAAAAGGAAATACTGTAAAAAAAATACCTTGATATTTTAAACATCATTTGGAATTTTTTTTAAATAAAAAAAATAAATACAATAAAATCACTGGAGGGTCAATAATTTTCACTTTAACTAATATATATATATATATATATATATATATATATATATATATATATATATATATATATATATATATATATATATATATATATATTGTTTTTTTTAATTTTATTTATTTATTTTTTTTATTTAAATTCAAAGTCCAATTACATTATTTTTGGATTTACGTTTATCATTGTGATGAACCTTAAAAAAGAAAATCATAAAACTACTAGAAAAATACTAAAGAATAATCTCAGTAATATCTATCATAAATATATCTCATAAATATCAGGTATATCTTATAATATCTCAGTCACTTACATTGTCAGTGGTCAAATTTGAAAAATGTGTAAGATTTATCAGTATATTACATTTACTGAGGGAGTAAAAACTATTAGAAAACTACTATAAAACAGATATATCTCATAAATATCTATTATAAATATACAGTAAATCATAAATATCATATATCATAAATATCTCATTCATATACAACATGTCAGTGGTCAAATTTGTTTAAGATTTATCAATATATTAAATCAACTCATCATAATCACAAATCAAATCATAAAACTACTATAAAACAATATCATTCATAAATATATTTCATATATATCAGATATATCTCATAAATATCAGGCATAACTCATAAATAACCCAGTTATGTACAGTATTTTAGTGGTCAAAATTGGCAAATATTTAAGACTTATTAGTTTATTAAATCAACTGAAGGAATAAGAACTATTCCCTCATCAAACAGATATATTTTAAAAATATCTGTTGTAAATATGTCTCATAAATATCTCATTCATTTACAGCATGTCAGTGATGAAACATCATCAAATACAAGTGTTTAAGATTTATCGGTATATTAAATCAACTGGGGGAATAAGAACTATTATAAAACTACCATAAAACAGATATATCTCATAAATATCTATTATAAATATACAGTATATCATATATCTCATAAATATCTCATTCATATACAACATGTCAGTGGTCAAATTTAACAAATTTTAAGATTTATCAGTACATTAAATTAACTGAGGGAATAAGAACTATTCCCTCATAACAAGAGATATATCTTATAAATATCTATTATAAATATATATCATAAATATCAGATATATCTAATAAATATGTCATGTACAGTATGTCAGTGATCAAAATTGACAAATGTTTGGATTTATCAATATATTAAATCAACTGTGGGAGTATAATTAAACTGCTTTAAAACCGATATATCTTATAAATATTTATTTTGAATAAATATCATATATATCTCATAAATATCTCAGTCATGTACAGTATGTCAGTGATCAAATTTGACAAATGTTTAAGATTTATCAGTATATTAAAGCAACTGAGGGAGTATAATAAAACTGCTATAAATCCGATATCTCATGTATTTTAAATGTATCTCATAAATATCAGATAGATCTCATAAATATCTCATTCATATATTAAAGAAAATGAGGGAGTAAGATCACCAATGGAAAAACACACCATTATAAAACCTTGAACTTATCCATATTAAAACTTTTGAACTCGCTTTAAAATTGACGTTATGAGTTTTATTTCAATCTTCCTATATTATTCTTCATGTATGTGCTTATGTTTTATTAATCCAAATTCCTATTATTGGTTTTGTTATTATAATTTATTGCAAGTTGACTAATAAGTCATAATAAAATCTAACTATCGGTAAAAAAAATTATGTTCAACAAATTTTAGAAGATTTCTTACAGATTACAGATTTTATAATCTATAAAAGTGTCTGTTGTCATGATTTGTCAGTTGTAATTTTTAGAAAAAATCCAAAAATTCCTGCTAAAAATTTTTAAACACTTAAAATATCTTTGTAACAATAGTAGATTATCATTCCTTAATGCACTTCAAAGTGCATTTGACCCGTCCTTGGAGCTTCACAGGTCTGCTGAGCACCAGATGCGTCTCCTCTCCTGCCCCACGACTGGGGAAATGCATTGTCCAGCAACATGGGCTAACTTTAGCATTTTCCGTCCCCAAAAATAAACAACTCCAGCCATCTCCCGTTGCCCACACACACTTCACTGGACACCCTGCACACACACACATACACTGAAAGACACTCTCTTGACACCAGACATGATTTCACACCTCTGTGTCACTATTGCAGCAATGCAACCCCTCAACAGGATGTTTCCGATACTGTTCATCTGTAACCCTGGAGCTCAAACAAATTCAGATCAAACACCGCAGATTATCTACCAACCAACCAGCGTTATTCTTCTTCCTCAAATGTCTTCAGATACACCTGTCCCTCACCTTTCCACCAAACACACACATATACTCACAGGAACATGCGGTCTGTTTTTTACTCCAAGCCTCCTTACCCTTAATCTGATTCGGTTTCAGTCACACAGGGGGACGGACAGATGGACACGGTGCAGTTCCTGGAATTTCTCACGTTCTCTGCCTTTGCTGGTTCCTGCTGTTGTCTTTCCCGGGTTTTATAGGCTCTCGCCGGGAATCTCCACTCCAATCGGTGGTCGCGATTGCTCTGACATCATTTGTGCAGGTTTTCCACTGTGGCTCGCCCTGAAGCCGTCTCTCCCCAGCCCTCTCATCCTCATTACCATTACAAACTAAATAGCTACCCAAGGGAGCAGCTGGACACGTTTGAATGTGTGTCTCTTTCTGTCCTTCTTTCTTGGCTCACACACACAGAAATGATGGCCAAAGGTGCCTGGAAGGTCAGCTTCTAACCTTTAAACTCCATAGGTTTAATAAGAAACATTGGAGTTATCTCCGTCTCTTTGGCATGTATATAAACTATGAGCATCTGGCAACCTCTGCGTGCTTATGGATGGTCTCCTGCATCTTGCATTTGATCGCTAACAGGGGAAAAGGGAGCTCAGGTCTCTGTCGGTCTGAGAAAGTCAGGTGGCGTTGACTTGTGAAGAGTTCCCCAGCAGACTGCCTGTTCTCACACTATATTTATCTGCACACACAGAGCTCATCTCTCTTTACTCCCACTGTTAAATAAAGAGCAGAGCGGCCAGGCCTGTCTACCACACCAAAATTTCCACAGAGACCCTACGATGATCCCTCTCTCTCTTTCACTTTTCCTTCTCTCTCTCTCTCTCTCTCTCTCTCTCTCTCTCTCTCTCTCTCTCAGTAAAATGTTTTGGAAAATCAGAGGACACCAAGAGGGGAAGCCAGGAGACGTGCATGTGTGTGTGTGTGTGTGTGTACAGATACAATCAGATGCGCCTGTACCTCAGAAATATTTTATTGCTCTTTCATAGATGTAGAATGTTCAGTTAATCTTCTAAGGAGTCCTTAGGCCTACTGTGTAGAGCTGAAATAAACGTGACTTGCTCTGCTTTGATTCTTTGCTTTAGCCTTAATTTTATTCAAATTGTATTCCAGCTCAAACTGAAATCTTTTAGTTTTCATTGAAGACTTTGGGATTTTTTTAAAACTCAAAAAAAAAAAAAAAAAAAAAACAGTTCAAGATGTCTTCTAAAGATCAGACATTTGTGAGATAACTCATCTATTCTTAGGAAATAAATATAGGAGATGCATGATGTAAAGAAATGTGTTATGTGAAAGACTCGAAATTGATTATTGAAAATAGTATTTAAATCGTAACAGTGCAGTATTTCACTGAACAGAAGCAAATTTCGGCTTGTTTGTAAGGTTTAGACCAGGGGTCACCTCACATGTTCTTGGAGGGCCGTTGTCCTGCAGATTTTAGCTCCAACCCTAATCAAACACACCTAAACAAGCTAATCAAGGTCTTGCTAAGTATACTTGAAACACCCAGGCTGGAGCATTGAGGCAAGTTGGAGCTAAACCCTGCAGAGACACCCGGCCCTCCAGGACTGAGGTTGGTGACCCCTGGTTTTGACGATTAAGGGAGTATTCACACTTGTAATTCCATTTTCAAGGATCATTTGGTATGGACTGTAAATGAAAGTAACACAACTTTAGTTCTCTTAAGCTACTTTTCCATTGCTCGGTATAGTACCGTTCAGCACAAGATGACTCGGTTTGGTTTAGCTCAGCTTGATTTGCATTTCCACTGCAGTTTAGTACCTCTTAAAGTGTGTGGGATCACTATAGTTGTGCTGCCTCTACTTCCTGAAAGCTTTTTTGCTGGACTTTTACTGACCATGATGCTGCCATTTCAGATGCCTTTTTCATTTGGTTTTGCCTTAATTTAATTTGAATTGTATTCGAGCTCAAACTGAAATATTTTAGTTTTTATTAAAGACTTTGGGATTTTTTAAAAATTCCAGAAAAAAAACAAACATAAAAAAACTTCAGTTTAAAATGTCTTCTAAAGATCAGACATTTGTAGAGTAACTCATCTTTTCTTAGGAAACAAATATTGGTGATGCATGATGTTAAAGAATGTTTTATGTGAAACACTTCAAATAGGAAAGTGACACAACTTTAGTTCTCTTAAGCCACCTTTCCACTGCTCAGTACAGTATAGTTTAGCACAACATGACTCGGTTTGGTTTAGCGCCGCTTGGTTTGCATGTCTACTGCAGTTTAGTACCTCTTAAAGTGTGTGGGATCACTATAGTTGTGCTGCCTCTACTTCCTGAAAACTTTTTCATTGGACTTTTATTGATCATGATGCTGCCATTTCAGATGTCTTTTTCTTTGTGTAGTCATGCGAACCAATGATATAGCAGTGGCTGTTGCAGACTACTTGACTATTTAGTGGGTTTGTTGTCTTGTGTCGTGTTGATGGTTTAGTTCTCTTGGATAAATCAGTGACCAGCAGAGTGAATGTGTCATGCAATGTCTCACTTGGAACCTCATCTGAGGTGGTATTAAAAAAGTACCATGTACTTAGTCAAGAATGTGAAACAGTCAACACATGTATGTTAATGTAATTAGCAACATTGTGACCATTACTTGAGAACCCAAGTTTGCTTAAACATTCTTCTTCATGGTCACATCTTGTGACATCATTACAGCACTAGTCTTTGGTTCATTTAGACTTTTTTGAACAAAAATTCAAGTGTTTCACTCAAACCCATTCAGAGTCTGTTTGGAGGAGAAATGAGATCATCTATTTAGACATCTTGGTCCACGTGTGGTTCACACCAATATTTGTGTGTCAGCATTGGCACTTATTTAAATCACCAAACTAGCAGAGCAATTTTAATTTAGCCATTCAAGGTGTAGGGGTGGCACAATGGTTGCCTCACAACAAGAAGGTCGCTGGTTCTAGTCCCAGCCATTTGGCATTTCTGTGTGGAGTTTGCATATTCTCCCCGTGTTGGCATGGGTTTTCTCCGGGCGCTCCGTTTTCTTACACAGTCCAAAGACATGCATTGTTGGTGAATTGAATAAATTAAATTGGCCGTAGTATATTGTTTTCCCAGTACTGGGTTGAGGCTGAAAAAGCATCCGCTGCGTAAAACATATGCTGAAATAGTTGGTGGTTCTTTTCCCTGTGGCGACCTCTGATAAATCAGAGACTAAGCCGAAGGAAAATTAATGAATGAATTCTAGGTTCTACAATTACTGGAGAAGTTGCAAAGTTTAAACATATATTTCTTAATCAAACCTTCAAAAGATACAACATGCATGGATAAATTGTTCACTGTGAAATCAGTAACATGAATTTAGAAAATAGACAGGGTTAACTTATGTAAATTTGTCAAACCCATCTAATCCACTTGATGTCTATAAGAACCAATGACTACGTTTACATGGGTATCAGTAATTAACTATTTGCCTTAATCTGAATAAGACAATAATATGATTAAGGTGTTTACATGAGATGTTTTTTGAATGTTTCTTTTATGATCCCATTTTACAGGTTATAGCACATAGATCGATTAACATCATTGCCTCACCACGATATCCACATTTCCTCCAAAGTTTTATGTAAATTAGCTTGTTTCAGTTTTATTTTGTTGACTTTACATGTAGTTTAGCACTTTCACTTTCATTTAAGAACATTTCATGCATGCCCTCATGACAAACGAGATATTGGATGCAAGTATAAACTGCTGGAAGAGTGTTGTTTTGATGGAATTTAATACCGCACACTGTATAGAAAAAAACCCTCCGCAACTTGCGATGCATATGTCTGTGGTCCTTGAGTGATTCAGTAGGTGCAGAGAATAGTGTCAAACAGCCGTGTGTGTATAGACTATCCTGTAGCAAAATGCGGCGAAAATCTTATTACATACTTATCCTACATTAATGTAATAGTTTGAATGCGCTGTTTACATGTCTGTACTGCACTTCAATAATGCAATGAAAATCCGCATACTCTACATGTCTTAACTCCATTTCTGTTTTGTTCGATTATGACTTTAGTCGGATTAAGGTCCTCAAAAATTGCTGTTTACATCATAGACTCCTAATCAGAGTATTGTCGTAATCATATGAAAATCGGATGATTGGTGTCCATGTAAACATAATAAATGTCTAGTAGAACCAATTCGAGCGTTTTTATTTTTAAAGAGAGCTTTAAGGTGAAATGTTTGAACTGGTTTGCAAAACTTATGACCATATTCCTAGTATTATCATGCATTTAATATACTGTAGGTCACAAGGGGTCAGTTGTGATTCATTAAGTGTGGTTTATTTCTAAACTAATTTCAAGAGGATTACGTGCTTATGATCAACAAGGCTGGCTCCTCATTAGCTCCGTAATATACCCTATCAGATGATTAAGGAAGCAATATAAATAACCAGTGTTTTTCCACTCCAGTTATCTTTATCTTGAAGCTTAACCCCCCCTTCCACCCCTACTTCCTCCCTCTTTTTCGATAGGGCGACACAATGGCCCAGTGGCTTAGACTGTTGCCTCACAGCAAGAACACCGCTGGTCCAACCTTCTATCGGGCTGGTTGGTGTTTCTGTGCGGAGTTTACATATTCTCCCCGTGTTTGCATGGGTTTCCTCCAGGTTCCCCAGTTTCCTCCCACAGTCCATAAACATAAACCATAGCCAATTAACTAAACCAAATAATCACCTAAGACAACCTTAGTTTACACTTCTCACACTGCGACAAGCAGGGGAGTTTTAGAGACCAACCTGAGCTCCAACTCCACTCTCGCCCTTCTATTGGGAGGAAGCCCCGGACTCAAGGATATTACGAACTCAGGGCTTTCTCCCAGGACAGCATGCCAAATACGCTTTATTGATTATCAGCTAAGTGTGAATTCTTGAATTTGCTATTGACATACCTTCAGCTGTATTTCCTGATGCATTTGATTACTCTAGCTTAATACTGTGAAAGCAATGTGTTCCAGTGTGTTTTCAACTGCCGCTAGAAGTATTAAAAAGTGATCAAACCTGAAATATTTAAACTCCATTTACACCAATTAGCATCATTCACCTTTGATCAGGTCTGATCAGTCTACAATTGCATTTAAAAAGCAACCAACACATTGAAATCTCTCTGTGCTTTAAAGAGATTCACAAAAAGCAAACAGTTTAAATC